AAGCAATTCAGAGGCTATCTACCTGGAGAGGGCATCAGATTCCATGAGTTGAACAGTCATTCTTACAATGATAAATAAAACAAAAATGTAAAACGAACATGGAATAACAGAGTAACAATGGAACAGAGCCAAAGGCTGTTGAAGACCTGGTTGCAGGCCTCTATAGTCACCAGACATGTGCCAAGTGCAGACCACAGCACAGTTCAGAAAATGAACTGGCCAGGATTGAAATATGAAGACTCACCACTTGATAAACTTTCCACTAATTAGAATTGTACTGACTGAAAACCACATTTGCATAAAGCAACATAGCCACACTACTTTTGCCTCCATAAGCACGCTCCTCAAAGAGCTCCTTGGGCATTCAGCTCAAGTGCTCCTTAAGTCCATTATACTTGGACTACATAGCAAGAGATTAGCACTACTGCTAAGACATGAGGCATGGGAGCTATAAGCCAGTTGCTATAACTCAACAAGAATTTGACATTGCAGTTGAGAACAAGACTGTGAAACATACGCACATACACACACTTCAAGTGCCAATTGTAAGCCCATAGTTATCACTTATGCTTCTGAAATATTTACTTATTAGACTGCCAGCTTATTATAAAAGTGAATAGCTCAGGAGCAGCCAAATGAAGAGATGCATGGGGCAAGATGTGAGGAAAGGGTGCAGAGTTTCCATGCCTTTTCTGAGGACTGCTATTCTCTCCAAATCTCCAAGTGTTCACTCACCTGGAAGCAATCCAAACCCAGGCCTTTGGATTTTTATGGAGGTTTCATTGCATAAGCGTGGTTGATTAAATCTTTGACCACTGGTGATTGGACTCAATCTCTAGCTCTTCTTCCATCCTCAGAGGCCTGGGGATTGGGACTGGGAGTTCCAACCTCTCTAATCACATGGTTGATTGTCCTGCCAAACAGCCACTACCCTCCCCCACCTTTCTTTTTGAAGTAACATTGGCTTCAAAACACTAGAACACTGCATATGATTCAGAGGTATAAGCGCATACTCCTTCAGATGTATGTAACCACACCCCACCCCACCACCAAGGCACCCTAACTCCACCACCATAGTCCATTGGGTGCCTTCCACATTTTCATCTCTTCTCCCCCACTCCCTGTCTAGAAGCCTCGATTGTATGGTTACATTTCTAGCATTTCTTATTGATTTGGTTTTGTCTTACCCTTTGTTTTGATTCTTTATATTTCACATGTAAGCAGTATCTGTCTTTCCCTTCTGACTTATTTTGCTTCACATTATGCCTTCCAGTTCTAACCATGTTGAGGCAAGTGGCAAGAGTTTCTCTTTGTTATAACTGAGCAGTATTCTATTGTGTGCACACATCACATCCTCTTTATTGACTCCTCTGTCCTTGGGTACTTAGGTTTTTTCATAGCTTGGCTATTATAAATAGTGATGCAATGAACATAGGTGTGCATTTATCCCTTCAAATTAGTGCTTTTGCTTTCTTTGGGTAGATATCTGGGAGTGGAATTGCTGGATCATTTAGCAGATCTATTTTTTTTTAAGATTTATTTATTTATACAAGTACTGGGGTACAGGCCAGAGGTGTGGGAGGATGAAAGGATTCACCAGAGATGGAGCAGGGAGCAGAACATGCGGAAGGTCCGAAAGACTCCGCTGAGGTGAGCAGTAGGCAAGACAGGAGAGGTCTGCCACGCCATGTGGGTATCTCCCTGGCTGGCCAGGAATCAAACCAGTGCTGCAGAGGCTGCAGACAGCTTCACAGTGCTGCGCTCAACTCGCACCACCGGCGAGGCCCTAGCAGATCTATTTTTAATACTTTCAGAAACCGACTGTTTCCAGAGAGGCTAAGCTAGCCTCTACATTCCCAACAGTGAATGAGTGTTACTTTTTCTCCACATTCTCACCAGCACGTGTTGTTTATCTTTGATATGTATATCCCACCCTTACATGTGGTCCCGAAGTCACCTTATTAACATAACACAAGTTTCCTTTGTTTTTCTCCGCACTAAAGAAATTTCAAGGATTATAAGACCTGTGTCAAGAACAGTGGAAAAGTGACCCAATATATATTTCTTATCATAAATTAAAATATCACATGGGGGCCTCCCTAGTGGCGCAGTGGTTGAGCACTGGGTTGCGAAGCTGCCCACAGCCTCTGCAGCGCCAGTTCCATCCCTGGCCATGGGGTGAGGTTCCCGCATGGCGCGCAGACCTCTCCTGCTGCCCGCTGCTCCCCTCAGCAGTGTGTTTCATCAGTCTGCCTGCTCTGCTCTCCACTCTGACTCTGATGAATTCTCTCACCCTCCCGCACTTCTGACTGTACCCAGTGCTTGTATAAATAAATAAATAAATCTTAAAAAAAAAAATAAAAAATAAAATATCACATGGGTCAAGAGTAAGATAAGGAAAGGCCAGCCATTTAATAGTCCTGTTACTTAAAACTAGAGTGACTTAAATCTCCATGCTCTAAAATATAGTATATTAACAGAAAATTTGAGGTATAAAATAGCCAATTAATCAGGTGATGATCACCATTAAAAAGATAGTTTGTTGCCCAGCATTCCCAAGAAGGGGTATGCTGTGCTTTGGGGAACACACTGGGAAATATTAGGGTCAATTAGGAGGGAGAGGGGGAGAAACAGTGGACAAGAGTCTTTGTTGTGGTTTCTGTAGGAAGGAACAAGCAAGGCAGGGCTCACAGGTATTAAGGCAGGTGGATAGTGGCCAGGACTGCATGTAAGGGCGGGGTATACATATCAAAAAGATAAACAACATGCGCTGATGAGAACGTGGGGAAAAAGGAACATTCATTCACTGTTGGTGGGACTGTAGACTAGCTTAGCCCCCCTGGAAAACAGTAGGTTTCTCAAAATATTAAAAATAGATGTGCTAAATGATCCAGCAGTTCCACTCCTAGTTATCGATCCAAAGTAAGCAAAAACACTAATTGGAAGGGATATATGCACACCTATGTTCATTGCATCACTATAATGGCCAGGAATGTGAGGACATAGTAGAGGAGGTTTTGGGTCCTGTATTGGTTGGTTTGTTTTTTCAAAGCACTCACAGGTAAATTGCTTACTATATTTAGGAACTGACAAACCTTGGGAGGCGCAGTCCTTCCAAGTCAGCAAGTTGTCAAAACATTGGAATACAGACAATAGAAGACATGCTTGATACTCTCTAGCTGGAGGGTTTTTGGCCACTCTAAGTTGGGGAAGGCAGACCTATCAGCCAGGTAGAAGCATCCAAAGCTAATTAGCAGTAAACAGTGGAGATGGTGCTTAATGCCCTGTAAGAGAACCCCCTCACATGTAGAGGAAAAACAAAAATACAAAACAAAAAAATAGAAGCAATAACAACTGGCAAACCAATGCAAATCTCTGGGTCTAGATTGTCTAGGTCACCTCAGAAGATTTATCACAAGCTAATGATTCACAAGATGACATATCCCACCACACAAAGAGTTTAGTGTCCACCAAACAGGGCAAAGTAGAGTAGCAGTTATTTCTCTTAAATACAATTCATTAGTAAGCTACATTTTGTACTGTAGGAAAACAAAGTGACTCCAGTAATTGCAATCCCCTGGGAAGAAGGCCAGTTTCCAGTTTCCCCATTGTTTCTTCATGTGTATTAACTTGTAATTGTGCTCCACACATAACTCTGTTGATCTTGGTAAAACCAAGACGCACGTGGCATGTCCCCTGGACATCTGGTGCCATTAGCCTTATGTAAGAATGATCATACATACTAAGCCGAGAACAAGAAGACCCCTACCAACATGGGTGGTGTGGATCCTGCCCCACCTCAAAGTCTATCAACTTTAGCACTGAGGACTTCCACATGTGAACTGCTCTTAATAAACTTAAAAATGTAATTAGGGCCTCCCTGGTGGGTGCAAGGGGTTAAGACACAACCTATGAAGCTTTCCGCAGCCACTGCAGCATGATTTCGATCCCTGGCCAGGGAGCTACCCACATGACACAGCAGACCTCTCCTGACCCACCCGCTGCTCCCCCTCAGCAGTGTATTTTGGTTGATCTGCCTGTTCTGTTCCCCACTCATCCCCCATACTTCTGGCCTGTACCCCAGTTCTTGTATGCATAAATAAATAAATCTTTTAAAAAATGTAATTAATGAACATGCTATTCTTTGGACTCATATTACCTTCTCACTCTAAAGGAACCGACTTGTTCCTGCAGCTGCACCTGTACTCAAGTGTCTGTGGGATCCAACATACACACAAACACATAGCAATAGTCTGTGTACATGTGAATTCAGCATCAGACACAAACCTCCGCCCCATATCATATATTCTCAAGAGTCTACATTTAGTGGGTCCAAGCTGATGTGACTGTAACAGGCCTTTTTAAAAGGACTATTTATTTATGCATACAAGAACGGGGGTATAGACCAGAGGGTATGGGGGGGGGGGTGAGAGGATTCACCAGAGACAAAGTGGGGAGCAGAACAGGCAGATTTACTGAAACACACTGCTGAGAGGAATAGCAGGGGAGACAGGAGAGGTCTGCTACATCACGTGGGTCAGCTCCCTGGCAGAGAGATCGAACTCTGCTGCAGTGGCTGGCAATAGTGATAGCTTGATAGTGCTAAGACTTTACCCCCTGTGCCACCAGGGAGGCCCCTTTTTGTTTTTCTTAAAAGTTCTGAAATACGTTAAGACAAAATAAAATTAGACCTGTCTGTTTTGACCCTCATTGATATCAAGAGCAGTATTTTCAAATCCAGTGGTGATGTTAACTCTAGAAAATATTTTCTTCATTGTCATGGCAAAATCAAACACCACATTACCTCAAGTTTCAGCACATACTTTATTCTCCTCATTAATGACTTAAAACTCTTGGAAGTCAAATCCTCAAAAAGTCCTTTGGCAATAAATGTAAATGTTTTACAAAAGAAAAAAGAAGTTGCAAGAGATAATACATTTCTGTTAACTCTACTTCTGAGTATTTTTCTTTGGTAAGGTCCCCAACCAAATGTGAATAAATTAGGTACAGCGTCGGTAGAAGTAGAAAAAATAATCTGTAAAGAATATTCCAGCAAAATAAGGGTCCGTTGAACAGTCAGCTAAGTCCTGTCAGAACAGGAGAAAAAAAGAAAACAATGTAAGAATGTAGCTAAAGTGTTTTTTCTATCTATTTAATCATCCATTTCTTTCTCACTAAAAGTAAAAATAAATTGAAAAAAAAAAAAAGAAAATTTACCGGTGCAGCTACACGGAAATGATATGCACTATCAAAGAACGGGGCTACAGCAAGGCTCCAAATGTGCTGATATCCCTAAATAATGAATGAAAGAGAGATCCATTTCATACCACATTTTACACTCAAGTGGAAAGAATAGAGGCTGAGACAGCATTTCTTTGACTACCGTGGGAGAGGTATCTGTGACAGCTTTTAACAGGGGTCGCTAGAATAGTCTGCAGCTTCTGAAGGACACACAAAAGATACCAAGCAAAGCCCCGTGACCAGGGTCAGCCAGCAAAGCTTTCTCTCAAGTCCTCTCTTATCAGGGACAGAGGCTGCACCACAACTCCAGACACAGGAGATTTTCTTCAGGAGCCAGAAAGTGTTACCTGTGTCATCTCCTGGGAGACTTCTTCCCGGCTTTGCATCCCGGTGGCCCCCCTTTTATTATGGAAACATATATTTCCAAGGCTGAATTTGCACTGGAAGACTATCAATGGCTCTGTTGTGCTTCAAGAGAGAAAGAGCAAATGGAAAAGCAGTTACAATCTCCTACTAGGCTATCTATCTACCTTAATTAGAAGAGCACTAATAGGAATGTGACTTGAAAATCCACTCAAACTTCTAAATAGGAATTTATTACACAAAGATACCAATATGTTAGCTTACACTTATCCTCATAGAAAGAATTTCAATCTCAGATGACTATTGTTGTGAACTGAATTTCAGATTCTACAAACTCCTGGTCTGGGTAAATAGTGTTTGAAACAGCAAGGCAAACAGGTAGGGACTTGGGAGTGAGCCCAATTAGCAATTACCAGTCTATAAAGCTATCAGAATGGAAGGCCCAGTCAGAAAGAATGGTTTGTCTCTGGAGATTGGCTCATTAATTATCAAGAGGATGAGATCCATCTGTCTTTAGAAGCAATCTTTTTGCACAAATGGGACAACCTATAATCTCAGATGAGTATATGTGTTATTTTTATATTACCTCTATTAGAAAGTGGCTCTTAAATGAAAAGGCCTGATCTAGCAACTCAAGATGCTCTTCTCCCACTTCAGGGGATAGCCATTTAAGCTTATTTCTCTCTATCAACACTAGGAATAAATGAGGAAGTGCTATTCCAGGTTGCTCAGCGACTGCTAGAGAGTAGTATATTTAGCTTCAGAATAGAATGCTTAGCCTTTGCTCTGCCTTGAAATATGGTGGGTTCTGAATTGTGAAATAGTAGCTGCTTGAAAAAAAACCAAAAAAAACTTTCTAAAGCAAGCAATAAGATTGTGTGTCACTAATTCTTTGTTGAAGCAAAGTTGGTGAGATAAGAAATAGGAAGCCTGAATGAAGAAGGAAGAGACAGGATAGGGGGCAAATGATGGAGGAGGAATAACAGAGGTGGGGAAATATAGAGGGAGAGGGAAGATAGAGAGAAAAGGAGAGTAAAAAAAAGAGACACAAAACAAAAACCATCTCTCTTCATGGTGAGTCACTCACTGCATAATTTTTGAGTCAAGTGGATCACAAGTCTTAAAATACCATAATTATTTAAAATATATGACAAAAGTAGATTAGAACCCTGTGATTCTGGAGGAAAGCTCTGTGTAATGGATAATCATAATAAAAATGACCACTACATGCCAGGAAGGGTCCATGTTCTTATGTATCTCTTCTCAATTGGACCGTGATGGCTAAGCTGCTGGGCTGAGTTTGAGGCCTAGCTCCACTAATTGCTAGCCATGATTTTGAGGACAGGTTTTCTGACCTCTCTAAACGTGAGTGTTCCCATCTGAAAAATACAGACTACAAAAATATACCAACGTTGGGGGATTGTTGTGAGGATTATATGACCTAGTGTTGACATGTACAGTGTCTGACTTATAGGATGTGCTCAGCAACCAGTAGCTATTAATTTCACTATTAGTAACAGTGAATCCCACCATAGATTTATGTGTTTTGATATAATAAACTTACTTTACAGATGAATAAATAATAGCTCAGAGAGGATAATTTGTTTTTCCAAGATCACAGAATTAAGTGACAAAGACAAAATTTGAACGCTCGTCTGCCCAATTCTAAACAGATTCCTTTTTTCCCCTGCCTCTGGGGACAGAAGGTTGTCTGCATTAGTGTTGCTTCCAGCAGCTCTCAAAAATGTGCTGCCTGCCCACTCAGGAGCCAAGCAATTTCATCATTCCCATCCTAATACAAAGGGACACAAGCAAGAGTGCTGTGTCTAGTGAGAGGCCAAGGTCACTCCCGCTGTGCAGGTGTGTGCAGCACCAGCAGCCTCTCCATTCCGCTGGAGGGAGCCTGGACAACCGATTTGCATTCTGAAGACCCCCTCCCACAGCTGACCCACCTCTCAAGCCTGCCATCATTAGTTCACACAGGCAGGACACTTTCTACCTCCTAGTTACTGATCAATTTGAGAGGTAAATTCAGACTTACTATTAAAATAATGATAAAAATGAAAGAGTTTTTCCAGCCATACACTTACTTGATTTCCAGAGAGAATTTGACATTGGTGGGTGTATGCTTATTGACAGGAATATTGTAATTGTAATTTCCAGACCTAATTATGCAGAAAAAACAAAACCACAAATCAAAACATGCAAGCAACACTTGCAAGGATTTTTGCTATCATTATATACTATATAAAGTGAAATATTCCATAATAAATAATTAATACAAAAAGCCAAGTTTATCATAGTATAGTTTCATGTATTTCAGAGACCTACCTATTAAATTTCAGAGTGCTGCCTTTCAGGTGAAACTGTACCATAAAGATTTAAGTGTTTTAGAACACATAGATGAAAACACATAGGTAGAATGTCAAATCCCATACCAAGTACACACAAGTAAATATATGGAAAATGACTGCAGTTCCTCTTAAGAGAGATATATTTTAGAAGACAAATTGGGCGAAGTCCTCAAACTAACAATCCCTCTGGAAAGAAGGATTGGAAATAACAAACACCAGCTTTTCTATCGTAAATCACTCCCTTTTAATCAACATTAGCAGGAAAATATGCACTTTCAGAGCTTGCATTAATTAAAATTAGTCCAATCCTAATTATCATTTAGTAATGGAGAGAACTGTCAGACAGAAATGCTTATACACAGATGCCTTCTCCACCACTTTTTTCTTTTTTTTATGAGAGTTACTTTGGGAAAAGCAAGCGTTCCTTTGATTCATATTGTAATGAAAAGCTTCAACAAAAGGTATGTTGTATCCCTTACAAGTTCCCCTTATGACCTGGCCATCGCTTGGTGAAAGAACTAAAATCCAGACAAATGGGGAAAAGAGGCAGTCATTTTAGGTTCTCTTTTATCAATACTGTTGTTAAAATAGTGAAAGCAAAATTAAGAAAATGGATCTGACTTGGGAAGAGAGAGCTCTGTTGGGTATCTAATGTATCTGCTACTATATGTCTCCCAAATCTCAGTAGATAGTATCCCATCCTACAGTGAATACACAGGGAGAATAAGCATGTTGTCAAAGTTACGGAATTTGAACCTGAATGACTTTATTCTTCATTATGTCACTATGCCACATGAACAAATGTCTGTCTCTGTTTTTTTCAAGCTCACTGAATCTCAGGTTTCTTAAAGAAAAATGGGAACAAATATACCAACCTCATAGGGATTTTGTAACAATTCAATGAGATAATGAGTGTACAGATCTTAAACAAATTACAAAGCACCATGCAGGTTATTTTCAAAACTCAGGGCCATCAACTCGAAGCCCAAATTTTATCAGGTAAAAAAGATAAAAGAATCTACGGAATAAACTGCACTACTTCCAAATAAACAGCCTGTTCTTAAACCTAGCAGGCACCCAGTAAATATTTGTCAAATAAATAAGAATAAGTGTCCGGTCCTAGAGCCTGCAGCTTGCATGTTGTGCTTGCTGAAGCATCATTACTGCCAGTCAGGAGCTATGGAATACACTAGAGATGGGTGCTAATAACTTTTGCAACACCTGGATTTTTCCCCTCCTGAAAAAGCTAAGATCAGCTATATTTTTGCAGCAATTAAAATAATGACATCCCTTGTTATTAAAATATCCAAATGTCAGCTAGTGAGTAACTTGGAACCATCAATAACAATGTCTTGTCTATAAAATGAACTAGTAGCTCTGTGCCCACAATATATGTCCTCAGAGTGAGCCTCTGAGCTGCCCCCTAAGTTTTTTGCCTTGGACTTATCCATTAAACCAGGAGACTGGAACCGTGGCGGCTGTGGTTTATTGACATTTGTTAATACCAACAGTTTTATGATTTCCTTGTCCACCGCATAACAAGTGTGTTTTCACTTAAGGAGCAATGTAAGCACACATTGATTTTACCAAGCAGCTCTAGCTTTCATCCCAGTCTCAAAAACCCAGAGCTCTGGGTATATTCTGAGGGAGGCTTACCCACCCGCACTGGAGGCTTCTACTGCAATACCGATGATCTATGACTTGTTGGATTTCCATAATCTGAATAGAACTGATGCTTGTATCAATCCCTGAATTGAGAAGAAATAGAGATAAGAAAAAAAGTAAACTCTTCTGGGGAGAAAGAGTATTGTGCTCCAGGGGAGTCTCTAAGTTGCAGAATGTGAAATAAGAATTTTCTAGATAAATGGGTTCAATTTGCATTCAAATGGAAAAAGGAGGAGGAGACCCTTTTCTTGTTATAGTAAATTTTAAGAAAGCTAATAAAAATCCAGGCACCAATACAAGAACTCCATAACATCTAAAAGAATTTCTGGAGCATGGAAATCCTACTAAATTGGAGAATTCAATGTGAAATGCAATCTGGCCAATAAAAAAGGATTTTTAAAAAGTCAGAAAAAGAGAAAACAAACTAGAAATACCGTCAGAATAGAAGAGGCAGGAAGTCAAATGAATTATTAAAACCCATAGAGATCAATCACAACTAGTCTAGTGGTGAGAGGCCAATCCCAGTGGCAGCCTCATGGTGAAGCTCATCACCAACTTCAAAAATGAGATCCCGTGGGTGTTTCTGGCAGGGTGCAGCTTTGGTCCCCATGCCTCCCTCCAGGATTGCTTTTACAGACTGCTGTTACTCTGCCTGGCCCTACAAAGTCAAAGAATAGGGTCAATGAAACATAAACTTACAGTCACTCTCCCAGTCAGGACTTCTTAGCACATCTCTTGCCAGGAATGATGTGTTTCTATCTCCTGAAGAGGAAAAATGTCTGTCAGTCTTTCAGGTTTGAACAAGAAACCCAATGTGAGCTGGAGTTTATCTCTGTCCACTGAATGTTCCCCCACTGTTTGATCCACTCAATCCCTATCCTTTTTTAAAAAAAATATTTGTTTATTTATTTATACAATCACTGGGTACAGTCAGAAGCGCGGGAGGGTGAGAGAATTCACCAGAGCCAGAGGGGAGAGCAGAGCAGGCAGACTGATGAAGTACACTGCTGAGGGTAACAGCGGGCAGCAGGAGAGGTCTGCGCGCCATGTGGGACTCTCCCCCCACAACCAGGGATCGAACCGGCGCTGCAGAGGCTGCAGGCAGCTTCGCAACCCAGCTCTCAACCACTGTGCCACTGGAGAGGCCCCCCTATCCTTTTTTTTTTAAAGATTTATTTATTTATGTATACTAGAACTGGGGTACAGGCCAGAGGTGTGGGGAGGGGGTAGTGAAGGATTCACCAGAGATAGTGGGAAGCAGAACAGGCAGATCTACTGAAATACACTGCTGAGGGCAGCAGGTGAGACAGGAGAGGTCTGCTGCGCCATGTGGGTTGCTCCCTGGCCAGCTGGGGATTGAACTCATGCTGCAGTGGCTGCCAATAGCTTTCTAGCTGTCTTTAACCCCTGAGTCACCAGGGAGGCCCAATCCCTATGCTGCTTTTGATAGAGCTAGTTTATTTTCACCCTTTTCCAAGATGATGTCTGTTTAGGTCTGAAATGTACACACCCCCAAATTCTTACATATGAAGCCCTAACCCCTCAGCATGTAACTATTTAGGTAAGGGATGTTAAAGAGGTAAATTAAAATAAGGCTATTAGGTGCTCCCTAATCCAATCTGACTGGTGTCCCTATACAAAGGTGACATTAGAACACAGGAAAGACACTAGGGCATGAGTCAAGAAAGACCTGGCAAGGTTACAGTAAGAAGGCAGCCATGGAATGTAAACTGGCCCAGCCACTATGGAAAGCTGTGTGGAGGTCCCTCAAAACATTAAAAATGGATCTACTATAAGATCCAACAATTTTACTCCTAGGAAACTATCCAAAGGACACAAAAACACACATTCAAAAGGAAACCAGCACTCCTATGTTTATTGCAGCACTATTTACAATAGCGAAGATATGGAAACAACCTAAATGCCCCAAAATAGATGACTGGAGCAAAAAGCTGTTGACTATATATGCATGGAATACTACTCAGTGATCAAAAAACTAAACTCATGCCACCTGTGGCAACATGCATAGAGCTGGAAGGGATTATTCTAAGTGAAGTGAGCCAGAAGGAGAAAGATAAATACCAGATGGTTTTACTTATATGCAGAATATAGAAAAAATGAATGATATAGAAATACAGAAAAAACAATATAGAGTATAGAAAAAGGCAAAACTTGCCTCTGACCGTAGATCTGCAGCAAACAGCAAGGGTGGAGGAGGGAGAGAGGTGAAAACAGGGGAAGGAAGAACACAAGGGACCGTGATGATGGATCAAGGGTGCTATGGTGGTGGTAGAACTATGGGGACCATATCTGAGGGGAGAAATCAAATACTGTACATGTAAGAAAATTAATTAATTAAAAAAAAAAAGAAGGCAGCCATCTGAAAGCCAAGAAAGAGGCCTCACAAAAAGCCAGACTTGCTAACACATTATCTTGGACTTCCAGCTTCCAGACCTATGAGAAAATACATCTCTACTGCTTAAGTCAGCCTTCCGTGGTATTTTATTATGGCAGTCCAAGCCAACTGAGACACCCTTCTAGGTCAGGTCACAGATCCTTTCTTTCCAACCCACAGCATTTATTACTGAGCCATCCATGGGGTGATCAGAGCTGTACCTATCAGCAGACCAGAAGGCATGTTAAAACCTCCGCTTTTTGACTTATGTTTGCCTTTTGTCAACAACTCCAGAATAGTGAATCTATGAACATTCTTTAAATCCTCTGTAACTCCTAGCATAATGAGATCTACATAGGAAAAAAGTGAACTTAAAACCCAAGATAAAGACAGAGCTGCAGCCAGGTGAAGAGAGGTATCAGATCACTGATGGGGGGCCAGGGCTTGCCTGTGGGGAAGAAAGCCTGGGAAGATTCTTGGCTGCCCATCTCAGCCCCACAGGCACTTTATAAGCAATTTTGAAAAGTTCAGATGATAGTTAAAGCAATGAAAACAAAAAGTATCTTTTTAAAGTAGATAGCAATCACTAAGTGAAAAGCAATCATTTAGTGGGTTTCTAAACAAACCTTAAAAAGAATTTTTAAAATGTTGCAGTCATGTTTATACTAATTTGGCAGACTTAGATTTATGTTCAAGTTTCTGTGTGGGATTGCAGGATAAGAAACAAAAGCCACCGTGCACATTACTTGGGGGCAATCACTTCTAGGTATCTCTGTCCTGGCGTGTACCTCTCACACCAGGCAGAAGGACGCTGATTTGCCCAAGCACCTGCCTGGGAGGCCTGCATCACGCTCACGGTTGTATCTTCATGGCTATATCCCCAGGTAAGGCAACATGGGCTCACTGTGAGTGTTCCATAAATATTTGTGGAAGAATGGAAGGAAAAGAGGGAAATAAGATAAAAGGCCATCATACAGCTTCTGGAAAAATGTTTCCTCTTAGACACTCAAAGGGGAGTTTCCAAGGGGGAAGGTACAGATGGATGCTGGGAATGGATGTGGGAAGCTAAGTTCTTTCACCCTCTTAACAAATGGGAGTGACACAGAACATGAAACTCAGGTAAATCTTCTGAGCATCCTGCCCAATGCAAGGTTTCCTATTATGAAGAAGTAGATCTTGATCTATGAGATTGCCTAGAAGATAGAATATTTTCCTTTACCTATAAACAGACATGCTCTTTAAAAGGCCCCGGATGTCTTGGGTTCTAGCTATTCCAATAATAGTTTTCAAGCACATGTCTCCTGCACAAGTTTTGCTTACAACTGCTTCCACAGAAGGCTGGGAATTTACAAGGCAAATGAGATATAAAGAGAAGGGAAACCAGACTTTTCTATCTTGTCTTTCTGTCTTTTCTTCCCGTTACTTTTATTCTACTATACTGCTGAAAAAGCTCATTATAAATTCTGCAGTAGAACTACAGATCTGTGCCCCTTCTACAGGAGCATATTTTCAGATTCCTGGAGACACAGAACCCTATGACAGGATTCAGCTTCTGATGGGATAGCAAGGTTTTTTATTTTTTTTATTTTTATTTATTTATTTATTTATTTATTTATTTAAATAATAAATTTTATTTTTATATTCCCCCATACAATTGCAAACCCCCCATTCTGACCCCAATCCCTCCCCTCCCGCCCCCCACCCTAGCAAGGTTTTTTAAAAGAAAAAAAAAACCTGTAATAAAAAGTAGAGGAAAGATAATCTTGAAGATTAGAATTATGAAAATTGCAGAATTGGAAATAAAAATTTAAACCTTCTATAATAAAACACCTCCAATTTGTCATTCTCTGAAGCAAGACTATTCAATGCTGAAAGGCTGGTTATTGGAAAATCATAAATTCTCTTGTAGTCATACAGGGGTGACTCTCATTTCATAAATGCCTTCCCACAACAGTCACTAGAAACTTAACCTACATTCCCAGTGGTTTTCATTGTAAAGCTGGAGACATATTTCACAATCAGCAGATGAGATCTCCCAGTAAACTAAATCAGAAACTTCTGGGGAGGAGAGATTTAAGATGGCGTCCAACCAGACCATATCTCACCATAGTAGAATGTGTATTAAACTGAATGTAACTGTATTGGTGGTTGGTGATTGAGTTCAAATACAGACTCTTGGCCACCCTTTTCTTTCCTGATTGAACCAGATTCATGCCCAGAAAAAAGCCAAGGAGCCTAATCAGTTGATGACTGAGTCCTTTGATACTTGGGAACCATTTCTTCTTCTCAGAGCTCTGGTCTCCAAACAAAATAAGTATGAATTTCAGATCTCTTTTTGCTTGGTGAGATTTAAAAAAATCTTTACCAAATCTCTTTAAAATCCATAAAATTCCATCAGCTTTCCCCCAAAGACACTTTTTAATATCTAACTCTGCTGTCCAGGTAAATCTTTATTGGTTCCACAGATTAAAATCTATTCCATGACATTCAGCAGATTCCTCGGAGTAGAAGATCAATATTCCTAAATATTTACCTTCTACTTGCTGATCAGTTCTACACAAACTTTTGTTAAGTGAGGAGAGATGGTTTAACCTTTCTGAAAAACAGTTTGTACAATCAAATTAGGCCCCAAAGAATCACAGACAAGCTCAGTATGTCATAAAAATGCTTATTTACCCCACTTACTTCCCTAGTAGTTTACTTCATTTACTTTACTAGTTTTACTCCTTAGAAGGAAGCCTCATAAATGTGTTCTGGGGCTTGGTAAATTGTTAGCTATTATTCTTCATCCAACTGAGAGTTTTTCCTAGTTTTTTTTAACCCTTGAGTTTCTTTGTGTTCTGTAAGATTTAATTGGCATTTGATGCCGTTAGAATATCTGGTTGAAAGAATATTTACCTGACTTCCTCCTTTTTTGGATTGAGGAACTTCCTAGGTGCCCTGGACACATGGAAAAGAGGGACCAGTAGCAAAAGAGAAGTGCCTTTCCTCAGACCCTGAAAAATACCATACCCCGGGAACATCTCAAAGATATAGGCAAATTTGAGGAGGGGGCACAGAAACAATAGATTAGAAAGCACCTTCTGGAGTTGATCCTGTTACATATATACACTGTGCCCAAATAAATGGCAGCAGAATGGTGCATGGGAGGGAGCTCAGGGAGACAAGGGACCCAGATTCCAATTCTACTTTTCTAGTAACTCACTGCAGAACCCTAAGCTGGGTTCTGGGCCTTCATCTCATAAGCTGTAAAGTGGGTGAGCTGGCATAAATCAGAAGCTCTCTTGACCTGGGACACTGAACCCCAGATGATTGCATAAAAGAGGCTATGGCATTGTCTGTGCACTTAATATCTCTTCCATAAATTTGTGCTGTTTTTAAAAGTTGCTGTGGATCAACGAATGCAACTTTATAACAAATGTAACTTTATAGTTACATATGTAACTTTATAACAAATGTAACTTTATAGTTACAGTCTCCCTTTATATATATATATATATATATATATATATTTTAGTCAAATAACTAAGATATTATAATGAAGTAATAACAGATTCCCAGCATTAAAACGTCAAGGTGCCGCTGGGGTAGCTGCTCCCTGACACTCTATGACTCTCAAGTTCTAAAACTTTTCAAATTTCCTGAAGGTGAAAGTAAACAGTACATTTAAGTCCTTTCCATTTCTCTCCAGTTGAAGGAGGGAGGCGGGGACAATGTTCTCAGTGTTTCAGAGAACCCAGTAGGGCAGAGCTTAAATTTCATTTTTAGCCAGTGAAGCTGAGAGTTGTGTCTAAGGGAACACACCCAGGCACCACAGAGCTGACCTTCTTTCCTTAGGAATCATTTCAGACTCCAAGAGCTATGGAAACAGAAGATGAACAGATACTCATTGTCCCTGAGAAGAGAGCAACAAATCTTCATCTAGTTTGATAGAGACTATTCTTCCTGATATTCCCTTGATGTAAAGAGCTGGTTACTATAGGAAAGAATTCGCTTGGGTGTCAAGAAACTTTCTGAAAATGAAGACTGAATCAGCCCATCACCGCTTCCTGTACAGGATCTATTGTTATCAGTACATGTCTCATAGGTGAGATGGTTTCTTTTCAGAGAAGGACACTCCCAAGATGAGGAAAGGGTTTACCAGATATGAGATTCCATGTGTTTTCACAAGACATGAAGGCTATGAGGGGTTGGGGGTTGGGGGTTATTCCAGTGATGACTGGAATAAATTCTTTTCTTCAAATGGAATATTTGTCCTCACAGCACTGTGATAGCTCTGTTCCCAAGTTTAATCAAATTGCTATATGAGAAAACCAGTATAACCATTGCCTCCTGTAGCTCCTATATAGTAAGCTCTATGCCTCACTTTCTTCATTCCAAAAAGGGAGATAACTGGGCCTTTTAGACTTGTAAGGATTCAATGATTTATGCACATTGACTACTTACCACAGTGCTTTGTCTATCATGATACCTGATAGACATTACATGATGAGGATGGTCGTTTATAACCATTCATTATTTGAAACTAGGATATAGAATAATATCAAAAGGAACAAGAAATGACAATGCTGCCCAAAATGTCAACCACTAGCCATATTCTGGGTGTCACTCATAAGAGCTGCTCAATTATATCCTGGTTCATCTTTTTCCAGGCACATGTTAGGTCACTTCTTCACCAACAGTTTTTAAATTAACATGACCACTGTTACTTGCATAAGTAAATAAACTGTAAGCGGAAGAGACATGTGTTTCTCCTAGGTGGGAGAATTTAAGAGACTGTTTTTGCCTCATTTTCTTAGAACGGCTGCACCTTTGAGATACAGAGAGACTCAGAAATGAGTTTTCGCCATATGAAGCCATTGTGATTTGGCAGTAATTTTTTGTTACCACAGCATCCTAGTACATCAGCCATACTATTGTAACATGTATGTATTGCTATTATTTGCATCATCATCATTATTATTTTAGATACTTGTCAATATGTGTATATACAGATAATTTCTAAAAACAGTAATAAAAGCATATTCATTTGCATGCATTGAATTTGATCTTACAGAAATAACTACAGTTTTAGCCCTTGAGTTCCTATAATATTTTTAACAGGAAAATTCTGTTACTTAAAAAGCACCAGTGCATGTGTATATCTGTGTGTGTGTGTGTGTGTGTGTGTGTGTGTGTGGGCATGCACATCTAAGAAGATGTTCTAAAAGTGGAATGCCAACCTTGTGTTTTTCACTGACTTAAAATTTACCCTGAACTCATCAGAGTTTCCAAAGCCTTTTACATTTTGCCCTACTTGGCTTGGGCACAGAGCCCAGATACTACATCATCTTTTACGTTTTAAGTGAGCCAAAAAAGTCTACCCATTTGCATGTAAGTACTTCACTTGTGCTACTATTATCATCTTTGTTGGCAACATGCAAATGAGACCCTTTCACTTGAATCAACTGGAAGTTCATCCCTGGGCAGGAAAATCAATGTTATAGATGAATGCAAGTCCATGTGCTTGTATTTAAAGATCTTGCCACCCCAATAAAAGAGTGGAAGCATTATCTGGAGCCATTAACAGACTCTTCACATACATACTGACAAGGAAAAAACCTCAGTTTCAAATGCTAGTTGGTTCTCTTTGAATATCCTTTACCAGCTGAAGGTCTCTGATGAATTTCCTTCTCCTTGGACTGTTTTTGCTCATGAATTTGCACAGGACTTGACAGGACTCTTCTTGTTTCCCAGAGGGGGCAGCAGTAAGTCTTCTGACATGGCAGGATCTCACAGAAAGTGATTTCTGGTACTTGGAAGGAGGATTGTGTGGTTGCCAGGGACATAGTAGGTGCTGCAAGACATTGGGGAGAGGAGAAGGAGGCCACAAGGTTAACCTGAAAGGCTGGTTTCTTCTGTTGACAGGAAATGCAGGCTGGGTTGAGGGTGGGGAGTATGAAGATCTTACCTGAGGGGGAGGCTGTGGGCAGCACAGTTGGCTCCTGAGAATTTGTGATATTGCTGGAGGATGAGAACAAAATGATTAATGAAGGAGTTCTTCGAGAACCCTCCTCCCCAAAGAAAGCAAGGCCAGAACTTTCACCTTAAAGGGAGATTTGGAGCACTTCGATCTTGGTCTTTTAAGCTAAGTATATAAAGGGAGACTATCGTCAAGGCACTGTTGAAAAAGAAGAAAGCATTATGTGGCAGATTTGAATCCAGTTATCTCTCACATACCAGCTGGCCAGAGATGTGCTCTCACAGGCCACACCGAATGGGGCAGGGAGGGGGAAAGAGGAGGGTAAAGGGAAGAGGCAGAGCCTGGGCTGACAGAAGCACCATGGACACCAGCACAGTCATATGCTTCTTTGCCCTGGTGAGGGAAAGTTCTGGTCTTCCTGGAGTGCTGGGGCTTGTGGGATAATCCACACTGATGGATTTTTCCATAGGGAAGCCCCCTGGCCTGGCAAGCTATCTCAGAAATATCTGTCACTAGTGGAAGATTACAAAAGGAAGCATGGAGGCAGCCCTCTGCTCCTTGCAGGAAAAAGTCAGAGCAAAGTTCATGTTCCACTGGTGGAGGGCACCAAAACTGTCACGCTGCAAGATGATAAGATGGAGCAGGAACAATCAAGCAAATGCAACCCTCTTTGGCTGCTTCTCTAACATCTTCCAGCCAGCCCTTCTCTTCAGAGAGACCACACACCAAATTGGACAGGAAGGAAAAGAAATGCAACAAAGCATCTACTTCCACACTACGTGACTTGAAATAATGAGCACATTCTGGTTATCAGAATTTCTATATCTAAATGGAAATTTTCCTTTAAGTTTCCAAGCTTTGGAAGCTCTTCTGTACTATGTTCACACAACCAACATTCTTCTTTTGGAGGTGTCTTTAGGACTCCCTTACATGTTGCACAAGGAAGTCCGCAGGTGACTTCACATCCCACTGTGCTGGGCATGACGTAAAGTGACCTAACTTGCCTTCCAACCAGCTTGACTTCACACCTGGCTCTCTGGACTCATTAGTTTGTTCCCCATCATTAAATACACACAATTTGCCATCGTTAAAGTTACACAAAGAAATGTGTCACACTTTTGCATTCCACTCATAAAGAAAGAATTCCCAGAATGTTCTCAGCAGGAGCTGGGTACTGCATGCAGGCACAGCCCTGCCTGGGAAAAGTGGTGCTGAACCCCGAAGATGGCATCAGACAGAATTAGGTAAGTCACTCTCACAACTGCTTGCTGTGGCCTAGTCTCCCTTGCTCTGGTCCCCCACACCCCCATTTTCCATCTCCCTTAGGTGCTCTTTAGAGTTGTCTTTGGTGTCTGCTTCAATGTACACGCAGCCCAGAGAATTCCTAGGGTTATAGATTGTAATGGACCTCTGCTCCTTTCTTTGGGGACAAAGTCCAGTTTTGCCCTTTATATACCAAGGGTCTGAAACAAGGTAATAAACCTCTCCAATTTATACTCTGAGCACTCAACAATACTGGAATTCATAAGATCTGATAAACACATTTAAAAGCAGTTTCTACATCAGATTTAGACTCTCTATTATCTTTTCATTGGGTTTTTGTGGGAATCTGTGCCTCTAGAGAATGCAAAGTATTTGCTATGGGTAGATGCACATACTCATCTGAGCAGGAATTCCAGAAGAAGACAAGCTCACTTAAGAGAATGAGAAAGTGCAATGGCTTCTAATAGGGATTCTGTGTCATGGTGCCCACTATGTGGCAATGTGTCCCACAGTGGACAGTAACAAGTAAAAAGTTAAAACGCTAAGGACAGAGAAAGGGTGAGAGACACCCACACTGTCTTCAACAGCTAGGAAACTGCTTTAGATCAAAGAACTGGAAATACCTTCAGACTGTCCTTTATTTTGCTTCTGAGAAGGACTGTCTCCCCTGACAAAACCCAGAGGCCAGTCCTCCCACACACTAACAAAGCATTTTTCAAGGGATAGATAAATACCCCTTTCATAAAGGGACTAGTGACTAAAAATAAGAAGACCTGGAGGACCCAAGCAAGATAAGCAGGGCTCAAAAGCTGAGGGCCAGCCCAGGAGCAGCAGGTGCCTGGAGCCTGGAGCCTGTGACAGATGTCTGCACCCCAGCAAGGGGGGCCGCCACTTCCCAGAGGAGCAGGGATGGTTGTAAAAGGCACTCTCTGCTGGCACTGCCAATACTTATACTTGTGTCCTTACTGTATTTTCTTGCTTTACCTGCTTAGTGAATTTGGCTACAATGTGACAACACAGTGCACATTTTGGTGTAAGCTCACAGTCTCTTATGTATAAGGTCTTCACTGAAGAATCCAGAAGAATACTAATAAATATGAGTGTCCAGGGGAGAGTGGATTGTAGCTGATTCCCCACTCATTTTTTTTTCCTTCCAAGTAGAAAGGAAGGAGAAAAAGAATCTGAGTGTTATCTGTGAGACTAAACACACACACACACACACACACACACACACACACAAACTCTGAAAGGTACAGTGAGCTGTTAAAAAAATATCAGCTGAATGAAAAAAAAATCATCCTCCATATCACATTTCAGTGCAGAGAGTCTATGATTTTCTTTAAAATAAGAATTTAAAAAAGGACTCCCTCATCTCTAAGCAAAATCAAAGGTCATGTCTAAAGGATCTTTGTCTTCAAAATAAATATAAGGTCAGCCCCTGGTTCATAAATGAAAAGAAAGATGAGAAGCAGAATAAATAGCTTAACATAGCATAACATTGAAATTTTTCTTACCAAAATGCCATCACAGCAATTAGAGTTATAACCAAAGTCTGGAAAATCCAGTTAGGACACGACTGTTTTTTTCCTGAAAAATAAACCTATAAAAAGATTCAGTAGGGAGCAGTGATAAACCCACACTAATAAGGGACACCTGAAGACTGGCTCCCAGTGGGGTTCTCTGTGCTCCCTAGGGGTGGCTGGTGAGCTCTTTCCACCCCACATCTCCCTCCACCTCTCAGCATCCCCAAAGACAGTTCTTATAAAACTTTCTTCAGTTCCCTGCCTTTGCCTCCCCCTCCAGGCTACGGGCCTCTCTCCTTTCCCTGAGGTGCTGCAGGGCAACCTCTGTGCTCTCCCGTTGGCGCTTATTCTTGAACTTGGATGAGAGAAGAACAACCAGACAAGGTATTGTCAGAATTCCAACATCCCTCTGTCTACAGAATGCTTTTTGAAAATCAAAAGGTCTTCAAGACATGATGGAATAAATCCCAAAGGAGGGATTTCAGGCATCGCGACAAACAGTGAACGAGACTTTTGGGGCATGAATACTAATAAGTACTCTTTAGGTGACACACATTGGTATCAAGTCTGCCACCTGGGTTTTTTTTTATGTTTTTTTTCTCCTTTTGTTCTACATTTTATTTTTTAATATTTTATTTTATATATTTTTCCATCATTTTTCATTTTTGCACAATGTATGCATTTTCATCTTGGTTATAGACCCCATACAATTCCCACCCCTCTTATTTTGATTCCGCCCCGCCCCCCACCCGGAGTTTGTCTCTGGTTTATAGTTGCTTGCTGATTTTGACTTTTACTTTATTATAATTAGTATTTTTCCTGTCTCTTATTTAGGTTTTCTAAATTCCTGCTATGAGTGAGACCATGCAGCATTTTTCTTTTTTTTCTGGCTTATTTTGTTGAGTATGATCCCTTCCAGCTCCATCCATGTTGCTGCAAATTGCATGAGTTTATCTTTTCCTGCACCCCTATGTTTATAGCAGCACTATTTACAATAGCTAAGCTATGGAAACAACCCAAATGCTCAAAAATAAATGACTGGATCAAGAAGATGTGGTACATATACACAATGGAATATTACTCAGCAATCAAAAAAGATAAACTCATGCCACCTGTTTTTTTTTCCAGTTTTTTTATATTATTTTTTTTAAATAATAAATTTTATTTTTATATTCCCCATACAATTGCAGCCCCCCCATTCTGACCCCAATCCCTCCTCTCCCGCCCCCGCCCCCCTAAAAGTGTCTCTGGTTCATAGTTTTTTGTTGATTTTGATTTTCACTTTCTTATAGTTATTCATTTTCCTGGTCCCTTATTTAAGTTTTCTAGATTCCTGCTATGAGTGAGACCATCCGGTATTTTTCTTTTTCTTTTTGGCTTATTTCGCTGAGCATGATCCCTTCCAGCGCCATCCATGTTGCTGCAAATTGCATGTGTTTATCTTTTTTGAATGCTGAGTAATATTCCATGGTATATATGTACCACATCTTCTTGATCCAGTCACCTATTTTTGGGCATTTGGGTTGTTTCCAAAGCTTAGCTATTGTAAACAGTGCTGCTATAAACATAGGGGTGCAGGTGTTCTTTGGAACTGATGTCATGCCACCTGTTTTTAAGGACACTTTTGGAACCATGTCTTATTTATTCTTATATCCATTTAAGATATATTCATTATGCAGAAGGATGTTTAACACCACAGGGGTACAAAAATGAGCAAATCCCAGTCTCTAGGAAGTGAATTAATACATATTGGCATCCACATCATACTGCACATGAGGAATGGACCGAAAATGACTAGGCGGCTGTGCAACTGGTAGAGTCTGGCTGACAAGATAAGATTCTTGCCCACTTAGCTTTTTTTTTAAAGATTTATTTTATTTATTTATACATATAAGAACTGGGGTATAGGCCAGACATGTTGGGGGGTAAGAGGATTCACCAGAGACAGAGCAGGGAGCAGAACAGGTGAATTTACTGAAATACACTGCTGGGGGGGCAGCTGGAGAGACAGGAGAGGTCTGCTTCCATGTGGGTCAGCTCCCTGGTTGGGATCAAACTCAGCCAGCAGTGGCTTATGCCACAATAGCTTGTGAAAGCTTGATAGTGCTGAGACTTTAACCCCTGTGCCACCAGGGAGGCTCTCTTGACCACTTAAATAAAGTGTTCTTTAAATGTGAGTTTTTCTACTAATGCAATAGGGAGAATTATGTTTGCTTCCTCTTGGGGATACAGAAGAGAGTCATGCTTTTCATCAGAAGAGAACTGGAGAATAGTAACAGGCTATTTTAAGTAAAAGCTTAAGATTGGTCCTTGTTTTAATTTCCTGAGTGTATTGTCTGAATAAATAAAATGTTCTTCAATGGACTATGGGGAGATGTAATTGGGGCAGGATTAACCACACCCTTTTTAACAAGTACACAGACCCACAGAGCAATTGTAACTGAGTCATCTATAAGTGGAAGCCATGCTGAATACCAAAAAGTGAAAGGTAGAGACCATTCCTGCTTCTCACTGGCACTGTACTAAGGATGTCTTACTAGCATGTTGTACAGAGAAGGAACTCAATGGAATTCATCGTGCAGATGAGAATTAAATAGTATTAGTGTCAGGATAATTGCTTCCCCTCCAACCTACTCCCCACAGCTGCCAGATTATTTTAGATCTCTATGTTTGTGCTCCAAATTGTTTAACCAAGTGCTTGGAAATGACCTAAGACCTGGCATCAGACTTGGAGTTGAGTCTTGAACAAGTCATGAAATTGGCATTGGTCCTTATTTTCTCCTTTGACAAATATAGGAATGAGTAAATAACACCTACCTACCTTTCAGAGTTATTGGATAGATCCAGTAAGAGGAACTCCAGAAGCCATTCCCTCTATCCCACTGCAATTTTTTTTTAATTTTAAAGATTTATTTTATTTATTTATGCATATAAGAGCTGGGGAGTAGGCCAGATGTGCAAGGGGGGTGGTGAGAGAATTTACCAGAGACAGAGAGGGGAACAAAACACACAGACTGACTGAAATACACTGCTGAGGGGAGCAGCAGGCAAGACAGGAGAGGTCTGCTGCACCATGTGGGTTAGCTACCTGGCAGGGATAGAACTCATGCTGCAGTGGCTGCTGATAGATTCATAGTGCTGAGACTTAACCCCCTGCACCACCAGGAAGGTCCCCTATGCAATATTTTTAATGTCTGTGTTTGCTGAGCAACCCGTTACGCACTGGGAACCGTGATAACGGGCTTTAGCTCATTTAATCCCACCAACAATCTTCACAAGATAGATACTATTATTTTCTCCATTTCCCAATGTGATTAAGTAACCTGCCCAAGAACACTTCTCCATATATATTTATCCATGTATTTATGTTTATTGGCACATCTGGAAGCTAGTTGACAGCATAACAATTTACTAATTTATAGTAGAATATTAAACTCTATGAAAATTTTTAGAATATTTCAACACATTATAACAAGAGTAGAGAGTAAACTGAGGCAGTGGCCCAAACATCAGGTTGATCCTTAACCAAGTGTCAACTATGGTCATGAATATCTTCGCCTGGCAACAGTCTCCTTTGAAAACTGGTAGATTCGGGGCCTTCCCTGGTGGCGCAGCGGTTGAGTGCTGGGCTGCAAAGCTGCCTGCAGCCTCTGCAGTGCCGGTTCCATCCCCTGCCTCCGCGAGGGTCCCACATGGCGCGCAGACCTCTCTTGCTGCGCCCGCTGCTCCCCTCAGCAGTGTATTTCGTCAGTCTGCCTATTCTGTTCCCTGCTCTGGCTCTGGTGAATTCTCTCACCCTCCCACGCTTCTGACTGTACCCAGTGCTTGTATAAATAAATAAATAAATATTAAAAAAGAAAAAAGAAAAAAAAGAAAACTGGTAGATTGGGGAAGAGAGCTGAGCTTCAGAGCTCTCTAGAACTACAGCTAGGGAGGGAGGGTAGCAGCTACTCCCTCACCAGCACTTTTCTCTGTCGGAGAAGTTAATAAATGATTACCACTCACCTTCTACTGTAAATGTTATCCTACTGATGAAAGTCCCCTTTATTCATTTATAAAACCATCACATTTTAACCTTTGTAAGTGAATACCTATTTTTCCATTTACGTACACGGTACTAAATATCAAAGGGAAAAAGGGATTTGAGGATTAACTCAAGTCCCTTTGGGATGATCTGGAGCCAAAGATAAGGGGCTAAGTTGAGCCAAGGAATCTACACATCCTGCAGCCCAGGGCCACATGCACATGGAAGCTGATAACTTTTACCTGATGGGGACAATATTTTTAAAACCTGTCAGAATAATATACCTGAAATAAACATTTTTTCACTTCTCTGTGAAAAATCAGTTAATATCTAGTAAAGACCAAAAGTACATAAGAATGCAAGCTAAGGAATCCATAACAAATAAAAGAAAAAATTTTAAAGGAGTTTCTTTAAAGACTTTTTAATGGCAAATATCATGTTTATTATAAATGTAATGAATAAAATTTATAACATAAATTATAAATATATGCTTGATTTACCTTGTTGGGTTTTTTGGGAATGGTCCTTCCTGTAGAAGATACACTAACAGCTCTGCTAAATTTGCTTTAAAAAGAGAGAATGAAAATTTATTATAATTGAAGTGCTTCTCCAGTAGTTATTGTGACAAAAACCGAGGCTGTCACTAAAAGCAGCCTGACTTTTTCTTTTATAATACGGTGATAATTTTTAAAAAAGAAAAGTCAAGGCAACTGAGAGTTCCTTTTATGGAAAAGTACTGTAGTAAGCATAAATGAATGTATTAAATGTTACATTTCTCTTTTTGTCAACATTAATATGCATTTATCTCCTTTAGTAATAAAAAATATTTTCCCTAAGGACCAAAAATGTATAAATTTAGAAATGGCCACCTCTCCTAGTTAAAGGAGGACCCACGCACACTTCTGCTAAAATGTAAGACTTCCTATAACAATTGCTCTTAAACAGGAATCATGTTTTGTTTCCTTTTAAAGCAACAGAAAATTAAATAAGAAAATGATCACATAAGGAAATTGTGTTCCAAAACATTTTAAAAAAGAATAGGAACTTCATTATCAGAAAATAATGGTTGCTGGATCAAGAAGACCATTCAGATCAATCTAGTAACAGAAAGACCCCACTCTCTCTGCTGTCTAGTTTTCCAGGGGGCGCCTTGATATACCTGATGGAGCTTGCTCCACTGCCTGAGGACTTCCAACTACTGAGCCGCTTTAGCCTGGCCAGCTTTCTGTTCCAGATTTCTAACTCTTCTATTCTTTCTTCAAGGTTGTTGGTTAGTTTGCAGAGCTGCTTCACTGCACCTACATTTTCCATAAAGATCTGGTCCTAAAGAATAAAAACAATACAGTTTGCATAAATGTCCAGTCTGAGACCACCGGGAACTATCCACAGCCCATTCAAAGAAAATTGGGGCACACCACTGAAAATGGCTATGTATGCACACAACCTCAAGTTCTTTCAAGATAAAGTTGGAAGAGCTTTGCAATTTAAAATGGTCTTGTTGGGCCTCCCCGGTGGCGCAGCGGTTGAGCGCTGGGTTGCGAAGCCGCCCGCAGCCTCTGCAGCGCCGGTTCGATCCCCGGCTGCTCCCGGGCCTCCGGAGGAGGGTCCCACATGGTGCGCAGACCTCTCCTGCCGCCCGCTGCTCCCCTCAGCAGTGTACTTCGGTCCTTCTGCCTGCTCTGCCCCCTGCTCTGGCTCTGGTGAATTCTCTCACCCTCCCGCGCTTCTGACTGTACCCAGTGCTTGTATAAATGAATGAATAAATAAATAAATAAAATACAAAAAAAAAAAAAATAAAATGGTCTTGTTAAACTGCTGGCCGTGTAGTAAAATTACTTTTGTTCAATTTGCAATAAAATGGAAATATGACCTTGTAACCCAAGAGAGAGAATGGAGCTGAAGGACATTATCAAGTTTGGAATCCAAAGATTTCTTTTCAGTGGCCATTATGCTATATTTAAAAGTCATAAAGTCAGAACAGGCGGTGAATGTTGATTGTGTGTGCATCACTAAATCTTTAGGACATGACTGTGGTTCTTCCAGGTCGAATGTGCATCAAATTGCTCAGGCAAAGTGCAGAAGCAGAGGAACCTGGGTCTTCCTCTGAGTTCTGCTCCCTACTAGATATGAGACCCCAAGCAAAACAGAAACCTTCCTGAGCTTCAGTTTTTTTCATCTATAAATGAGAGGATAATTCATTAGGTGTTGGTTTCTGCTTTAATATTCCATATACACAATTTATAACTTAGCCTAACTCCCAAACAAAAATTTAAAACAACCACACAATTCTTGCTTAGAGAAAGCCACAACTGTCATAAAGAGCTATAGGGATATCGAGCAAAGCCAGGATCGCCTGGCCATCCTTGCCCCCACCCACACACTTGAGTTGTCATAGAACAAGTATATATATTTCTCAGCCATAACAAAATCCCTGAAAGCTCTCATCAATACGCACCCCAGCCCCAGGACCTCTCCTCTATTCGCCCTCTCGATTTACAGGCTCAGAATGCAGTGGCACTCTGTAGGGCTCATACAGGCTGGTCAACTATTGCAAAGTGATGAGCTAGAGGCCAAAAGAGAAAGGCAGCTTTGTAGTTGAGGGGTCAAACTCAGGAATCCTTGTCATTGAGTTTCTCATCATGCAAACCGAAACTTCAAGGGTTTCAAACACTTAAAAGCAACCACTCAAAAAGGACTTTTAAGTTTAACATTGCAGACTTAAGGCTTAGTTTATGCAGTTCAAAGACAGACTTGTAAGACAGTTAAACTCTCTGATCAGCCACACAGATTTAAATGAAGTCCCCCCCCCCAATACTCTGCAATTACAGTATCCAAAGCTTTATTCTAATAAAGAGCCTTTATTCCTCAAATAGAAATGCCTGCTCTTCCTCAAGGTCAGTCCAAATCCTCTTGTACCCAGGACCCTCCCAGAGGCCACTCGTCAGAAGAGCGCTCTCTTCCACAGCGCTCTCAAAGCATGTTCAACATTATCACTTGGCCATTTTTCTCATATCAGATCTGTAGTATCTGTCTCTCCACCCAGATCATGGAATTGTCATGGGCAGCAATTATAGTCTCCATCTGCTTATCTCACCAGCATTTAGCACATGCATTTGCCCACAGTGAATGCTCAAAAAGAATGCACTAAAGTGAATTAAAAGGTGCTATGAGTTAGCTTAGAAAAGCAGAAAGTTTTCCTTTTGAGGAAGCAAAGTGACCAAAAATCTTGATCACTTAGCCCTATTCTTGCTCTAAACAAACAAAGAAGGCAGGGGATGGAATGCAAGGACATTCCTGTACTGGAATTTTAAAACCCATGAAAAAAAATTCTTTATTTTTCCTAAAAAAAATCTTTCAATATCTATCCAAAGAATAGACATTGATAAAACCAATGTAGAATAGAATTTGGCCATATCTAATAAAATTGTGCATGTTTTATTTTACCCATTAATCCTACGTTTAGGAATCTATTCCACAGATCTTCTGGTACAAGGTTAAAAAAATCCATAAATTATTAATTGAAGCACTACTTGCAACTGCAAAAACTGAAGTTTTTTTAAGGATCCAAATGTCCAGCAATAGGGAACTTGATGAATATAAAGGACGCTACATTCCACAATAGTATACTATGCTGCCTCAGGCATCTGGCACACCCCAGTGCCAGGTAAACCCCTGAAGACCTAGACTCCAGACAGTCCCCCAGACCCAGACACTCAAGCTGCCCAGCAGCAGGGGACAGATGGACAATATAAGCATATTTTCTGAAAGGACCAAGGAACAGTCTGTCATGCACGTGTGCACATGGAAAGATATGTGCTTTTGTGAAATCAGTCCTGATTGAGCTTCAAGTGGATCCTTTTTTAAATCCTCATCTTTTGCCCCAGACCCTTTGCAATGTGCTAATCATACTGAACCATTTGCTGTTCCCCATGCTTTCTTTAGTCACTGGAATGAACCCAGCTTCTCCTTGTACCTGAATTTCCACCTTCCTTACACTGTGTCATTTCTACTTATTATCAACACCTGGAGATAGGGCCCCATATTGTCCACAATATCCAGCTCAGAGCATTAACTCAGCATACACTTGGTGATTAAATGACTACTTTTACAATGCTGGTTTATGACATGAGGCATTGCTCCTGGTGAATTGAAGAGAGTGGCCAAACTTCCAGTTTATCAGAGGTTTCTCCTAGAAAAGTAAAAAGACAAAGGTCCAAATTCCCTTTCATATTAGGAAACGCCCATAGAAGTTCAGATGAATTAAACAAAGATGTTTAACATCCTTAATTCAATGGGCTAGTGGTTTGGCTATACGCAGCAAACTGGTTTCCACTTTGGTTAGATTCTTTTCCCATTGGGAGGGGATTGGATTGGCCCAGGAAATGGATGAAAATCCTTTGGGTCCCCCACCTTGGCTCCTAGAAAACCCTTGGAATCTATAGAACAGTTTGGAAGCTCCTGGCTTGACTGCAAGTCTAATGATAAATGTTCCACAACACTGAGGAGCAGGCAGGCAGTGGAGTTGATTTCTACCTCTTTGGAAACTATAACTTGGCATCTATCTACCTCTGTCTAACAACACGGAATAGGTTAGCCATTCTCAAAGCAATGAATGCTTTGAGAAGTTGAAGTGGATTCTTACTTCTTTTCCAGTGAGAGTCACAGATTTGAAAATCTCTCCTAGTGGCATCTGATGTTGCATGGACTAACATTTTATAATACAATCATGGGAATAAAATAGCCTGTAACTGAGCATTGTGAAAGTGATTGCCAAAGGGACAGAAACTGTTTTCAGCCAATGGGTGTGTCTGGCAATTGTTTGGGCTTTGGATAAACTCAGCTTTAGATCTTAGTCCAAGAGTTTATTTTGCAGATCACTCACCAGGTCTTGACATGGATTTTAAAAACATAGAATCCCAAAACCAGAAAAGCAGGCTGCTGAAATGGTAAGGAAGCTCAGACTTCCAGTTGAATTTCCAGCAGGCCCCTCGAGGAGAGGTTGCTATCACATGCGTATTTCTCTTGCAAAGAGTTCAGCTCTTGTGCTCATTTCCCTGGATGCTGTGTTCTGACATCTGCCTTACATGAGCTCTAGCATCACAAAACAGTTTTAAATTATGTGTTTTATGGTTGCCTTTGTTTATTTGCTTTAGAAATCTTGCTATTTCTGATTAAGTACTGTGTGTGTTGGGAGGGTGAGGAGGGCTCGAGTCCTTAGACTGAGACTCAAGTTTCTAGTTGAACCAGCACATGTCAGCACATGGTTTGTTGTAAACCAGTACAAGGTTTGTTGTAATTCCATGAATTCTTGTCCTCCCCAGGTGCCCAAAGAGTTCCTTTTGAGGGTGGTCATTGTGGCCTAGAACCACTGGCACATGTAACTCAATTTCCAATTAAAAAATAGAATAAGTAGTTCTTTATCAAGTACCTATGATGTGCAAACCACTCTCTTAAGTGCAGGGATAAAACAATTAGGTAAGGTAGACTGAATCTCTGCCTTTCTAGAACATATTCTCTAGTAGAGGAGACTGACCAACACGTAAACCACAAATAAATAAAAAGGCTTTACGTTGTCATTAACACTAGAATGGAAGTCAATCAGGCATTGAAAGAGAAAATAACTGTCGCTATCTTAAATCATTGCTAGAGATTTGATCTATGAGTTTTATACTTTTGAGAGCACTGGGAAAGAATTAAGTAGCAGCATCAAGTGGAAAGTCAACAGTCTCACCCTAAAAAGGACAGGAAACCCAATGAAAAACTAGCCAACCAACTCACAGAAGGAGAAATCAAAAGAACTAAAGAGATGTATGATTTCATTACACATTAGAGAAAGGCAAGTTAAAATAGTAAGATACCACTTTATCCCATTCATAGTTGCAAAATTTAGAAAGTTTGATAGTGCCAGGCATTGCTGAGGATATTGAAAAACAGTAAGCCTCATTTGCCACTGTTATGAGTTAAAACTGATCAACATTGGGCACTATTTCAAAAAATTAAGGCTGTGAATTTCCTATACTCTGGCATATGTGCCAGAGAAAACCTCCCACAACTCACATTGTGTGACACTGTTTGTCACCGAATAGTCTGTGGTCAACAGGACTGGAAGGGGTCCATCACGTGAGAATATAAAGGCATATGCCAAGGAAATCCATGCATCAATTAGAAGTTACGAACAGCTATATGTAATTCAAATAAATGTAATGCACATTTAAAAAACAACACTAATACTATTCCAGAGAGGACATATATGAAACACATTAGAGTGCCTGCCAGTGTTGGGAAGGAGGGTTGGCAGGAGAGGGGATGAAGAGAGAATAAAAGGAGGTGATGTAGCAAAGTAAAAAAGCAGCAAAATAAGCATCAGCTCTAAGTTTCAACAATAGAGACAAAGGGGAAATATCTCCTTGGGTGGGGGGTGGGAAATGAAAGGGGCTTTACTGAGCGACAGCATTCAAGTTTCTTCTGTAGTCTTTAGAGCCTTTACTCAGTTTTAAGTAGCTGGAAGGCACTGTGAGAGACTGAGTAGCTCAGACTGAGCTCAGTGGACCTTGTGCTTGGGGAATGTGGTCCATTCCCACGGGGAGGAAGGCTTCTGACCAAGGAGTCAGATTTCCCAGATAACAAAAAATTGGCATTAATCAGAAAGGGACTCACATACTTCAAGTCTTCACTTCTTTAGAATTACTTAAAACACTCTCTTTGAAAGCTTTGACATAAATTCACCATTTTAACTAAGTTCCATTTTGGTAAATACAGTGTGAAATTCCAGGTCCTAAACCAGAGGTTGAATAAATAGATGTATCTGATTTTCAAAGCATGGTCACCACCTGCTGACACAATATTTAAATTGCAGTTTTAGGTGCAGGAACAATGACTTCATTTCCCACTGTTTTATTACAAAAATGCTTGAGCATACAAAAAAAATTGAAAAAACTGGAGATATCCATAAACACCACTACCTAAACTTATATTTTAAACAAATTACTGGAAAACTTCATCATGCCCTTTATTATTAAAAATAAATTTCTCATGATCTACCTCTCAAGTGAAGTGATAACCTAGGTCTGAGAGAAACAAGAGAATCTCTTCCATCTTAACTTGGTTGGGAATTAGAAGAAGGTAACTCATCTTCTGCTACCAGACCCTGGAACTTTAGGGCTGAGCAGACTGTCTAGACCCCATAATCTATTTGTTTTCTGAGAGCTTTTAGGTGGATACAGTAGAAGTGCCTCTACCTGCTGCTCTCCCTATGCTTTGCTGACCATTGGGGATGACAACATTGGAATGACCTGAAGACTGCTTAGAAAGTAGGGTCTCTGCTCTTACCCATTCTTGTCTAATCAGAATCTGCACTTTAATAAGATCCCCAGTGAATCATGTCCACTTTGAAGTTCAAGAAATACTGTCCCCAAGAACTGACAAGCTACAAATTAGTCTCCACTCAAACATCCCTTCCTATTACTACAAACCCCAAGTCAGTCACTCTTCCCTTTTAGTATCAAATATAATAACACAACATAAAGCAAATCAGCAGTAAAGGGACTTTGCAGGATTTCACAGAATTAATAAATGTGGTGTCAGAATGACTCAAAGCACACACACAGCATCAGAAGAAATGGCAGGCTTAGCCCCACCAACACGCAAAGGGGTGATCATCTAGAAGGCTGATGACAGTCCTTCAAAAGAGAATGATTTGAATATCAAAGAATGAAGACAGGTCCTTGGGGAAAATAAAAAGGCTGGTGAATATCTTTGTAAATGTGACCCACTGTATGACTGTGCTGTGAAAGTCAAATATACAACTTGTCGAAAAGCTGCTCTGAAAAATCAACACTCGAATGTTTAATAATTTGTAACATTGGTAACATAAATGATAGTATGTGAAACGTGATCTATTCTTAAGTTTTAGTTCCATTTTTTTTTAAGACAAAGCATAATCAAAGGGTGTTGTCACTATTCTTCAGGATAGCTGGTCCTTAATTTAAGGCACTCAGCTAAGTAGATTTTCCCCAGGCCAGTTTCTCTCCTGCATTAACAGCAAATGCATGTTCCTTTGCTTTTTCCCTTTTGGAACTTCTTTTTGCTATTGATGACCCCTGTGGGATCATTGATACTGTTAGGGGGAAATGATGTCCTGAGTTAATCCCATACAGGCTTTGTGGACCCACCCCCACTCCAGACTAAAGCCATCAAGACATTGGGAAAGACAAATCCCATCACCACCAAGGGAGGGTGGCTGGGACCTGAGGGTGGAGTTGGGCAGCCAGGTTGGATATAAAAACCAAACACGTGGGCTTTGGGCTCTTTGGCTCGCAATCGCTCGCCTCCTGGCTTCACGGCTCCTGGCTGGCGGCCAACTCTGAGAGTGCCATTTTGGGATTCCTGATCGGCGGATCGGGTAGGACTCATTTAAAACTTTGTCTCCCACTTTTCTCCCAGAGCTGTACATTTCCTCATTTCCCCTTCCCTTTGTAAATAAACCTTTTATTAACCTTTCACGTGTGCCTGCAGTAGAGCATTGATAAGTCCTTTTAAGCGCGCGGGTGAGGACCCACAGTCAGGCACCCCGTTTTGTATCGGGGTTGCTCTACAACAATACCAACATACTCCACTGCTCAGTGAGGAACTCCCTTGGGGTCCCGCTTCCTGGCTGGATGTCTCAGTGCATCATGATGCTCTTGGTTCGCAGTGGGGTTACAGTGGCAGTGGCATCTCTGGTGAGTGCTAGCTAGAGTGATAGCTGTTCAGTGACTACCTTATCGACCATGAGGAAGTTCTCCAATGTCTCTCCGTTTTCACAGGTGACATCGCCAACTTCTCTTATGGCTCTGGGCAGGATCTCTTGCACCTCCTGGGCAATCATTCCTAGATACAAAACACTCCAACAGGTTTAATCAGGAAAAGACCTTTCTGGAGAAAATCCTCTCACACGCTTACATAAGAACGGAACACTGCCAGCCACACAGGATGTCTTTGCAGATAGATGCTTATCCTTTCTCAGCTTTTGCTTTGATCTGCGATGCATTTGAAGCAAAGGAATTGTGAGTCAAGAAACACTATAGGATTTAAAGTGAGAGTGTTCCTTTCTCTACATTTCTTTGAGACTCTGAGCCAGATTTTGGAAGGAACACAAGTAAGTGCCTTGAAGTCCCTGAACACATATGCAGAGGTAGGACATGGTTTCCTATCTCTTCCAGCAGGAAGACATTGTCCTTTAGATGGTCCTGATACAGCAATATCTCTTCTGCTTTGAAGAGAGACACTCTCCTCCCGTCTAAGTTTCTTTAATCTTAAATAAGCCTTATAGATATAAGGATTATAACAGTGGTGAAATGATAGGGGTCGGGAGGAAGGGAAGGCGCCATATCTAGCAGAGGAATCTACACATACACACCCAGCACAGGCTGCTCGTACACACTAGATGACTAACGATCTGCTTTCTTTAAACTAAAACTCTTGTTTTAAACTGAGATTTCTGTCCTGATGATGCCCAGAGGAGTGCTGGACATTGACAACTGAGGCTGTATCAGGGTCAAGATAACCTGGAGGCTGATAGCAAGTTCTGCAGGCTGAACACGATGAATACTAGAAATATCAATTGTGATGTGTTGTTTGCTTGTAACTGTCATTGTTTCACGCGTAAAAATGCCAGCTCAAGAGGAGATGACAGAAAAGTCTGTTTAGGGTGCTAGGCCCACCGTTCTCTCAGATCAACAGCTAGTGATCTAAAAATTAAAAAGGCTTATAGATTCATTTCCTGTCTCTGCTCATTAGCTTTCCATAGTGACAGATAGCAACACAACCCAGGGCTATTCCAATAACAGTCCTTCATTTTTAGAGTTCCTGGATTGCAGCATAAAACTACTTTTCTAGTTCCTTCTCCAACCTCAACCCACCTATGCTGCCCCCTTCTCCAACCCAGAGTTGCCCAGTGCCCCTACTTCTGTAATTGAGCCCTCATCCTATGAGCAAGAGGACGCCAGTGAAAAGAATGTACATTAAAAAAAAAAAAAAAAAAAAGGACCTTGGGATGCAGGCATGTTGGGTGGGAGTGCTGAATAAAGACAACCCAGAAACTTCTTTAACCTTTCCTGTTCTAGTGATATGAGTTTTGCAGAGGATGAGTTGAACCAACAGTTTGCTGTCAAATGCCATAACATACAACCTGCCCATCCAGTGGGAATCAAAATTTTAATAGTTGACAACCCAGAATTTAAAAGGGAATTTGTGTGTGTACCTGTTTGATGCGCCGCGTTTATTCCCATTGCAGATGCAAATTCAGGTTTGTAGTCATATTCAACGATCCTCATTTGTGCTATTCTTTTCAGCTGCTCATTTGTGTCAACCTAATTAAATTAAAGAAAAACAAATTTCACCTGCTCAGATACTTGCTATTCAAATCCGTGCCCAGAGTGACCCAGAGCGATGAGGAATGCTGGCAGCGGGACTGTCCTTTTCTCCTGCCAAACTATTTTAAGAGAAAGTTATGTCTCTTCAGAGAAGCTGAAGTCTTAAGGTTCATGTCAGTGACTTCCAACCACTGACTAAATAAATAGCCAAGGATCTGTCTAAATTATAGGGTGAAATCTCCCTCTTTTACAGCCCCTGCCTTACCGCTGCCCTCTGAGGTAAATTCTCCCAAGGAAGGAGGTTACTTGCTGTGGAGAGAAGCAATGAGCTGCTCAGGAGGGCAAGCGCAGTGTAAAACCCACACAAAAATAAGCCAATCTTGTATTGATTAATTGAAAATGCAATGCTGAATTCAAGAAACAACCTTTTTGGACACTTTGCTGAAGAAAATTCCTTCAAGTGGGAGACCGCAAGCTCACGTTGCCCACCCATGGATCCTTCAAGATGAAGCGTTGCCCCTCCCATGGGTGGTCTGCCCAACCCCCCTGTCAGTGATGGTGTCCTCCTCTGAGCTCACGGCTCTGACAGTTTAAGACGCTCTCAGCTGTGCTGCAAATTCCTTGAAAACAATGTCACCAGACCCCAAAATGATAACAGAGTAAAATGACAATAACAAAGATAATATAGTAAATTTTTCATAAGGCTAAAAGTGTTTGGTTCAAAGAATCCCCCTTTAATTTGATCTATTTAAATAAATTGGTGATAGGGCCTCCCTGGTGGCACAAGGGGTAAAGGACAGCACTGTGAAGCTAATCCGCAGCCTCTGCAGCACAGAGTTCGATCCCTGGCCAGCCAGGGAGCTGCCCACATGGCGCAGCAGACCTCTCCTGTCTCACCCGCTGCTCCCCTCAGCAGTGTATTTCGGTCAGTCTGCCTGTTCTGCTCCCCACTCTGTCTCTGGTGAATCCTCTCACCCCCGCATCTCTGGCCGCATCTACCCCAGCTCTCGTATGCAAAAAGAAATAAATCTTTAAAAAAATAAAATAAAAATCTGTGGTTTGGACAGGAAGGCAGACTCATCACAAGTGATATTATGATTGGGAAACACGATGATGGATGTGAATAGAGCAGCATGGCAGCTCCAGGGAGGTACCTGCAGAGTTCTTAGGGGAGCATGAAGAAAGGCGGCCTAGCATGGGAAAGTCCAACTGACACCTTGGCTCATTTCAGTTCTCAAACATGTTCTGCAACTTTCACATTGGGAGCTTTGCTCAAGGCATTTTCCCTGCCTTAAAAGCTCTCCATTCCCTCTTCCCTTTCTTCTCCAGTGTAAACATTGCTTCACCACAGATGCAGTCTTGACCTCCAAGATAGAAAGGGTCCCTCTGCCTTATGTGCTAATGGCACTTGTTCTTTTCCTTCATAGTGCTAACCAAAGTTATCACCAGACTGGTTATGTTGTCTTTTTTTATCTGTCTTCTCCCATAGAATATACACTCATGAAAATGAGAAAAAACTTGAGGCCATGGTTTTCTGTTTATCACCAGATCACCAGTTTGTAGCAAGAGTCCTTGCATATAGTAGATGCTCAACTAATTTGTTAAATAAAATAAGAATGTGAAGCTAGGAATAAGGGAAAGATATGGGTGGAGTAGGAAAGAGTGATACTAAGACAGGGATACCAGGTAGAAGGAACACCATAAGCCAAGTCCCAATGCAGCAAACCCCTTGAATGTCTGCACAGCAGAGGCAGAGTTTGGCATTACTAGAGATAAAGACTAAGACCCAAATGGAGAGGTCTTTGCAGGTCATGCTAGGAAGGAATAGTCACAATTTCACTTTGCTCTACCCAGCCATCTATCACTGTAAGCACCTTCATTCATTTAACCAATATTTGTTGAGTAGCTATGACACGTAAGCTGTTATCTTAGGTACTGGAGAGTCAATGAGTACTTCTTATTTGAAGATTAAATTTTAACAAAAGTTTCATTTCTCAAGGTAAGACTTAGGTTTCATTCATCTCAGAACAAAGCATATAGCATATACTGATTGAGTTGGAGCAGTGGTGACCAGGGACCAAACGTTGCCCCCTGACTTCTGGACACTGCTCAAGCCAGACAGGATGATGCCCTCCCAGGGTCAGAGCCTAAACAGCCCCCCTGACATCCTGAGCAGGGGGCTTTGAGGAAGCAGGCAGACTTTAATAGGAAGCAATGCACATGGGCTCACTCTCTCTTTCCTCAGAGCTGCTGTAGAAGACAGCCATCCTCCTGCAAAACAGGAGGAGACCTTTGCCCCGCCCTCCAAAGGGGGATCCCAACCTCAGCAGTACAGACCTCTGCCATACACTGCTGGCTCCTGTAGCTGCAACTCCACCCCATGACATCAACCGGTAACTGAACCTTCCCCCCACTCCCTCTACCTGGGTAGCTCTCCCTCATGCCCTACCTGTTTTAACCTGTTAGTTAAAATAGTTTCTTTTTTCTGCACCAAAGACTTTTTTTTTTAATTTGTGGCAGTAGGTGGCTGGACCTAAAACCATTGAGAAAGGTTCTGCCCCAGTGACAGTTCTTTTTAGACACTTTGCCAGGTAAGAGTTGGCACCCAAAAGGGTCAATGAAGAGGAGGAGGAACGAAAAATGAGGGAACCCTTTCTGTCTTGGGGGGTGAAGAACTGCGTCTTTGCAATATTTACTTTGGAGAGGGAAAAAGAGGTGCGGGAAGGCAGGGAAAATGATACCACAGAACAATCCCTGGCACTAACAGGATTACAGATGGGGTCAATCAGGAGCCAGCTGGACTGCCCTGCACTAGCCAGGCCCACCCCATTCCCTCTCCTGGGAGTCCCATGTTTACCGGCTGCCTATTATCCCCTCAGTCTTGACATGAACCACACTAGCAACCAAAGGGAGGCAGTGTCAGTGCCTTTGCTGCAAATGGAAAGCAGAGGAGGGTGCCCTCACTGAGGCTGTCCAGGTTACAGAGACAGAATGAGTCCTGGTGACTAAGACAGATGCATTTCCCCTGAAGACATATTGGTAGGCATAGTAATTAGGTTCTATAGCACTATTACCATTGTATTTCAGACAGCTTTTTGGCCAAAGAATATTTTAAGAGTTGGCTTGGGGATCTAAACACTTTATATAATCATATTTCCCTAAGAAAATGCTCTTCTGGTTTCTAATTCTAGTCTGTAGACATTCCAAAGGCAAATATAACCTACCTGTTTTGCATGTTCCCTATGTGTACACTTGGCCTAGGAAAAACCCTTGAGGCAAGGGTTGTGCCTTCTTGGAATTCTCCTCCAGGATCTACACAAGTCAGCACTTAATGTCATGCTTTGCTCACCAATGTGTTTAGTAAAAAGCTAGAAACTGGATTTGGGTGCCTGATATGATCTTGCCCACAGCAGTTTTGCAAAGTTTGTAAATGCAAATGGCCATCACAGCGGTGCCCCATCATACCCAAGGTTTTTATTTCATGAACTCAAGCACTGCACTGCAGGGAAGACATTTCAGCCCATGCGGCTCCAGTTTATTCAGGGAGGGAGATCTTTTTAATCCACTCTCTGGCCCAGAGCCCTGGGACTCTGGGTCTCTCATCAGGAGCAGTTTAAGTTACACTGGTTCACCCTTTGCTGAGGAACTCCACCCTTGGTCTCAGGGTCCTGAGAAGAGACTTTGCATGTCTGACTATCTCAAGCTTTTCACACTTTTGTCTCTACCTAGCACACTGATGGTTCAGCTCGGATAAAAACAAAACAATCTTTGGGCGTTGCATCTCACCTGATTTCTTTTCTGGCTTTTATTTTTAAGTCCTTTGCTGTCTTGTTTTCAGCCTTCACCGCAGAATTTGACTGATGCATTCAACTTTCAACTTCCTCATTTTCTTTTTTTTTTTGCATTGCCACTGACTTTCTTCCCACCCCATTGGTTTTCAGCATATCCTTTCCATGCGCAGTTTCCACTACAAGAGGCACACTCCCTTTCCAGCATAGTCACTTTAGTGAACAAGACGCTGCTATCTGGGTGAGTTAAGCTGCTCCTACTTAGGCTGACCTCATTTCCCTAGGGCTTCAGTTTCACAGGTTTCAGTCATATCTGCTCTATCTCCTCTGTCTTGGATGTGCGTCCAGATGAGCACTAGAGATCTCCAGCAAGCCTCTGCAGGCAGCGTGCTCATGCACTTAATATCCACAAAGCAACCAAGACAGCCTGGAGTGAAAGGACACAGCCAGGGCAAGACAGCCACCTGTTTCGTTTTCCCCATCACCCACATATTGGGCACCATGTTTGGCTACTATATCTGGCGACAACTCATCCAGAAGCAAGCTCTGGCTACCACTGTCAAAAACCAAAATTCTTCCAAGTAAATTTGAAGATCTTCTTGCCTCTATTCAACAATTCAAGATTTGGGCAGCATCCCATTTAGCAAGTGTAAAGATCCTATGAGCAGTTATAGAAAAATGGGTGGGGTTTTTTTTATAGGCAGAAGAGTCAGACAGGTTACTAGCAAAAGAAAAAAAAGTTTATTATAGGCAAAGTCACCTTTCCTTAAAGGAAAGCAAGGGGGTTCTTATTCTTCTTTTGCTGATGACCTCACCAGTACTGACCAGGAAACTCCATACTGACTGGTTTAAAATTCTACTTTGATGAGAGTCTGAAACTATAATAAGGTTGGACATTAAGTCTTGGTGAAATTGGCATAAACAATTCTATTTGGGCCTTTTTTTTTTTTTTAAGCACCATGCATCCTTAAAGAATGAGATATTGCCCTCAGTCCTATATATAATGGGGTCCAGGTTCCCTTCCCAGCATGTTTGGGAGAATGTCTCTCTTTTAAAAGTTGGAAAAACTGAGATAGGGACAGGTAAGAATAAGTCCACACATCTGTCAGCACCATCATCGCTATCATCTCTCGTCTATAATGGATGATGAATTGAACAGATAAGATTTGAATAGCACATGGTGGACATTGAATAAGACATCATTTAAATAAGATGATGAATAGGACAGATAAGGCGCCTCCCCAGTGACACAGCGGTTGAGTGCTGAGCTGCAAATCTGCCCACAGCCTCTGCAGCACCCGTTCAATACCCCGGCTGCCGCAAGGGTCCCACATGGCATGCAGACCTCTCCTGTCTCACCTGCTGCTCCCCTCAGCAGTGTGTTTCATCAGTCTGCCTGTTCTGCTCCCCGCTCTGGCTCTGGTGAATTCTCTCACCCTCCCACGCTTCTGACTGTACCCAGTGCTTGTATAAATAAATAAATAAATCTTTAAAAAAAAAAAGAATAGGACAGATAAGGACTAGAAAAAAATATTTCATAGCTGTGTATAGGCCCGTTAAGAACAACTATATTGTTATGAAATAATTTAAAAAGTGATTTACATTAAAATTATAATTTACATTTTACAAGAAAATAAGAAATATTTGCCTAGCCCTATTCCACTAAAATAAAAAAATGCTCCACATGCATGAGCTCAGAAAACATCTTGAGTAAATGAACACTTAAATAAATGCTAAAATGAATATGAGTGTTCCCTGTTTATAGAAGATATATAATGTCTTTGAGCCAAAGTTCCTGGACCAGAACTTGCCAGAATCACCATTAAAATGCAAGTATTCTAAGCAGAGGCTACTATTCTCTTAATTCTACCATGCTCTGTGTAGGTAGGGGGCATAGGAATTTCACCCAGAAAGCCAGGGCTGGCTTTAAAATGGAGAAAGCTTCCTGGAAGGGATTTGGAGAGTGCTGGGGTAGCTTTTTATTTTAAGACCATATAATTTCTTCAAACCAAGGAGCACAGTTTGAAGAAATGAATGATGAACAAGGTTCTTGGAAGAGCCGGGTGGCAGCAGGAAGGGCTGTGGAGGACTTTCCTACTCTTCCTCTTCTGTCTACATTTAGATAAGACCTGGCATGGACTTGCAGAGTGAGTTGGTGTGATCTGAAAAGCAGACATTTTATCTCTCTAAAAGGCAAATGCACGATATCTATGACCACTATCTGGAAATGTATGTGAGAACTTTCTCCCCCTAAGAGTTCCCACCCGACTAGTGCAGTAGGTCACAGCTCTTCTAACATGAAGTGCAGTTTCAAAATCAGTATAAAAGTCAGTATAACAGTTACAACCATTCTTTGAAATCCTTTCAGCAAAAGAGGACATTCCTTGGCCAGTTTAGAAAAACCAGTGGCAGATTTGCACTGGGAAAGGAATGCAGTCTGGAAGAATGGCCAAGTATTAACAGATTAAGTCTCCTGTTCACCAAAAAAGAATTCAGAAGGGAGAGCAAAGCAGGTTTAAAAACATGATTCTGTCACCATTTCAAAAATGCTTATAAGAGAAGCAATGTGAATGAGGAGGGAGGTAGTAGCAGAGGTAACAAATGGAAAATGGAATTAAATGGTGAAATGGCTGAAGTCAAGAGTGGCCTGATGAAGAAACTGGCATATTTAATCCTAATACTCAAGGTCTTCATAAACTGTAACTTTCCAAGGCACTCAGAACTTATCTCAATGGGTTAAAAATATAGAGAGGGGTCAGTAAGGAGGCATCCTTTCCATCTAAATAGATGAGGACACTGAGTTCCAGCAGGTTTAAACATTTTATCCAAGGTCAGGTTACTGGGGAGACCCCAAAATGGGGGAGCTCTGATTTTCTAGTGGAAATCAGAAATTAGGTGACTGCCTCTCCATAGAAAAGACGGACTTGACTCTGTTCCTTGGGCCGCGGGATTGACCAAGTAAGACTGGAGAGGACGAAGAGAAATACTTGCAGAAACTGGACTGACAGTGCTCAGAAGAGAAACAGGGAGGTGGAAATTTGGAGGAAAGGAAAATGGCAAGCTCCAGCAGTTGACAATGCATAGAAGGAAGGGCAATGGCCTGTGGAAAATAACTCAGGGATGGCCTACTTGTGCAGTGGTGCTGTGCTGTCAGTGGCCACTGTTCCTGTCAGGTAAATCCATTCTCCTGGTAGTTGCTGATGCAGACTCTCAGCAGAGGAGCCTAGCAGTTCCAACAGCCGTGGTTGTCAAGCAATGTGTTTGTCTCACCCCAATAGGCAACGTGCGGAAATGCCCTATGTGGGGAATGTCAGAGGCCAGGAGCACCCCACCCACCTGCTTAAGTGTCAAAGGAGGTGCCAGAGGCCTGCCCTGTGCTCACCTCTTGGATATTCTGCTTTGCCCGGCTGTCAGAGGGATGCATGATGGTTCCCATCACTTTCATATTGCCACAGACAACCAGGGCTTCGTCCGGTGCATCTGTGTTTATTCCCACTCGACTATGACAGACAACAGATTCTGGAACTTGTCCTCGCTGCCATAATGCATCACTGTCATTTTCAAATTGCCCAGGGTTAGACGCCTGGAAAAAATACATAAATGTATTACAATTAAAGCTACAGTAGCAGGAATAGAAGATCACTTTATCCTCAGAGCAATGGAAAACAAAATGTTACCTAAGTCTTTTCACATGAAAATCACATGCTGGATGGGACATTCTGACATATACAAATGGCCCTATGACCCCAGGAAAGTCAGGGGCTCCCATAAATACTCTGCCCACTATGAGCAGAAGCTCGGTATGCCATGTATTAGAATGTCTAGTCTCTAGCACATCTATCTGAAATAGAGAATATGTCAGTTTCACTGGGTGACAAGGACAAGAAGAAAACTCATAATGACTATCTTCTCATTAAAGATAATAATCATGATTTCAATCAGGCTAATAGACAAGAAAACATTGTAAGCTTATTAAGACTAAGATAAAATAAAAGTACTTTACATTTAGGTAGCCCCTTTATAGTTTCAAACCACTTTCATATTTATGATTTCATACAGAATTGACAAGCAAATGAAAATACAAATATATTTAACATATCTCAACTATCTCTTAAACATAGATGACCGTCAAGGAACACTGGAAACAGCTATGTTTGGTTTTCTGTTGTTTTTAAATTTTTTTTTTAAATTGAGGTAACATAAGGTATCACCACCATATTGCACCCACCACCAAATCACCCAAAGCACCCCCATCATAGTCCATTGGCTTCCTTTCCTTTTTGTTCTTACCCCTCCCCCACCTCACCCCTCCTTTGGATGTTTTACTTCTATAGTCAGCTTTTAAGGGTTAGTTTTGATCTTGCCTTTACTTGACACTTAGTTTGGTTTTTCTATATTCCACATATTAGTGACACAGTCTGGTATTTATCTTCCTCCTTCTGACTTATTTCATTAAGTGTTATCCCTTCCAGCTTCATCCACATTGCTGTAAATAGCATGAGTTTATTTTCTGATTGTTGACTAATATTCCATTGTGTATCTGCACCACATCTTCTTGATCCACTCATCTGTTTTTGGATACTTTGGCTACAGTAAAAAGTGCTGCAATAAACATGGGAGAACAAGTTTCCTTTCAAATTAGTGTTTTTGAATGTTTCAGGTAGATGCCTAAGAGTAGAACTACTTGATTATATAGCAGATTCATTACTCATCTTTTTATTAAGATGAAAGGCTGGATTAATCTGCATTCTCATCAGCAGTGCAGGTGAGTTATCTTTTCTCCATATTCTCTCTTTTTTTTTTGCATAGAAGAACTGGGGTACAGGCCAGGGCAGGGGGGTTGGTTAGAGGATTCACCAGAGACAGAGTGGGGAGCAGAACAGGCAGACTGACTGAAATACACTGCTAAGGGGAGCAGCGGGCAAGACAGGAGCAGTCTGCTGCGCCATATGTGGGTTAGCTCCCTGGCTGGGGATCAAACTCAGGCCTTAGCTATGACAGCACTGAGACTTAACCCTTAGGTCCCACCAGGGAGGCCTCCACATACTTGACAGCACTTGTTGCTTCTGGTCTTTTAAGTATGGGTCATTCTTACAGGTGTGGTTTGTCATTGTGGTCTTGATTTGCATTTCCCTCATAAGTGATGAACAATTTTCATGTGCCTGTTGGCCATCTGTACATCTTCTTTGAAGAAGTGCCTATTTAGCTCTTCTGCTCATTTTTTGATTGGGTTATTTGTTTGTTTTGCTGTTGTTGTTGAGTTGTAGGTGCTCTTTGTGAATCTTTGACATCAGTCCCTTGTCAGATATACGGTATGCAACTATTTTCTCCTATTCAATTGAGTGTCTTTCTGTTGAGTTATGGTTTCTTTTGCTGTGCAGAAACTTTTTAGTTTGATGTAGTCCCATGTGTTTATGTTCTCATTTGTTTGTCTTGCTGTTGGGGATGCATCTCTAAAGATATCACTGAAGCTTATGTCATGTAGCGTTTTGCATTTTTTTTTTATATATATATTTTACAGTTTCAAGTCTACATCCAACTCTTTCATCCATTTTGAACTGATTTTTGTGTATGGTATGAGACAGTGGTCTAGTTTCATTCTTTTTTTATGAGCTGTCCAATTTTCCCATCACCATTTATTGAAGCGCCTATCCTTGTGCCAGTGTATGTTGTTGGCTCCCTGGTCATAGAGTAACTGTCCATGTAGATGTGGATTTATTTCTGAGTTCTCAATTCCATTCCATTGCTCTCTGTTTCTGCTTTAGTTCCAGTACCAGGCTGTTTTAATTACTATGGCTTTATAATAAAGTTTGAAGTCTGGAAGAACAGCCCTGCCATTTTTCTTTTTTTGTCAGGATTGCTATGGCTATTGTGATTCCATATGAATTTCATATGTTTTGTTCCAGTTACTTGAAGAATGCCATCAATATTTTTATTGTGATTATAGTGAATCAATAACAGCTACATTTGTCGTGTGCTCATTTATACTCTAATTCTATGAGCTATGTACTATTCTCCTTAGTTTATTGCTACTGAGACTCTGGAAAGACAAATTGCCCAAAGCTACAAAGCTAGTAAGTTCTGGAGCTGGAATTGTATTTCCTTTGATTGTTACATAATGATTCTAACCGCCTATTTCATAGTGTTATCTAGAAGTAACCCTGGTCAAATGTGGTCTCAAAAAAAAAAAGTTCAAATGCAGTAAACAGGCTAGACAAAGTTCTGGAGCTATTACACTTCAATAAAATTCCACGTCAAAAGTTTTTTCCACTCTCTTCTCCCCACTTAACCTCTAGCTGCTGAATTTATTTCTAAATAACCATAAGTAGGGCTCTCTGAAACTTTCAAAATCCTCCCAACACAATTAAGTCATTTATAAAATTATGACCTAGTCTTCTAAATATGAATTCTGTGCTTGAGACAGGTTGTCACAAATTCAGACAAATAGGGAACTGGATAATCTAAAACATTAGCACTAACACAGTAGTTTTGCTATTTTCCTGTCTGGAAGTATGGGAGACATTATAAACACAGCACCTGAACGTGCATGGATGATCTCTGACAAATACTCAAGAAACCAGTAACAATAATTTCCTTAAGTATGGGACTGGGAGATGCAGAAACTGGTCAGAGGGAAAGTCACCACTCACTACACATTCTGTTGGTATTATCTGAATGTTTTTACCATATGTATGTGTTACCAATTTTAAAATAATAATGAAAAGAAACCACAAAGTTTAGTTCTTAATTTGAGTTCAGTTAAAGCATTTTTAGGTGTCTTCTGCATCCTGTTTCATTTCCACCTGTCTAAACCCTGAGCTGGTTGAAAGACACAACCATTGACATTTGATGGACAAACGCAATGAAAGAATATAAAGCAACAACTTTGAACATTATTTTGTGTGAATTCACTTGAACAAAGAGCTTTTCTGCAAAGTCCCTAGAGTCCCCTTGGTTGTGAATGGCAAATTGGCTTTGATTCAAATCCTTTTATAGCAAGCAATCAACTATATCCAAAGGTACGCCGTATAAAATGTTGATGTGTTTTGCTCTATTCTGAACATAATGAGCCATTCAAGGAAACAAAATAGGACAGTGATGGATTTTTTTTTCCTTAATGAGTTTTAGGATAATTATTATCATGTTTGGTAACTTGATACTGTAACCACAAATATAAGTAGATTTATTTCTTTGGAACAATTACAACAATCTCAATTGACTTTCATCAGATAAAAACTCAAGTCTCTAAACTATGTTCAAATTATTTTGGAAGGGGTCACAGATTTACAACATTCTAAATATCTATTTCTAAGAAGGTGTCCCTAATCAGCAATGGGAAATGTTATAAAATCTATGAACTTATTTCCATTTTCTGGTATCCACAGTGTTAACATATCAGAGAAAACTGTAATGTTTCTCTTTCTTGGATTATGAAGTTGTGGTCACATGTGGCCCAGTATGGCTGATTGATATCAAACACCAAAATGAATTAGTGTTTCTAAAATACTTTTATTATTTATCTTATAGTATAAATACATTTATTATATATTTAGGGAGGACCTTTTAGTTAATATTACGTGTGACTGTGTGACCTTAGGGCAGTCACTTAACCATTCTGCATCAGTATTTGTCCTCTGAAGAATAAAGATAATGTTTTTATCTATCCCACAGGTTGTATAAGTCATGAAAGTCACATACGTATGAAGACTTTCCAAATCTGAGGATGAACACTCTTCAAATTCTACCTTGACACACTCTGCTGTGCAGAGCAACAATGGTTCTACCTATAACCATTCATTTTCCCTCAGCAACAGGCTGCAAGTTTGCACAGCTTGGTGGGGGGCAGGGGGGTGGGGAACCTCCATTCATAAAGAATACAATGTAAATGCCGCCCCCTGCAGGTGCTTGGATAGGAAACAGTATTCACAGTAATCTGAGACCTGCTCTGTTTAAATATGGTATGGGGAGCAGGAACTTCTTTGTTTTACCTCTGTTTGGACTTTTAAAGTAGTAGCTAAAGATCATAAAAGGAGAGCTTGTGCCTAGGAAGGCAACCTATAAAAAAATCCCTTTTTGTGCCTTTTGAAAAGGCAATGGAAAAATGGACCTAGAAATGCCCTCTTCCGGTGCAACACAAATATGGTTTCCAGGCCAGCAACATCAGTATTTCCTGGAAGCTTGTAGAAATGCACATTCTCAGACATCTCTAATCCACTGAATCAAGAACTGGGATGGGGCCCAGTATCTGTGTTTTATAAAAATCCTTGACAAAATTTAAGAATTACTTCTTCAGGGGCCTCCCTGGTGGCATAGGGATTAAGTCTCAGCACTATCATGCTATCACTGCTATGGCATGAGTTCGATCCCTAGGAGGGAGGTGACCCACATGGCACAGCAGACCTCTCCTGTCTCCCCTGCTGCTCCCCTCAGCAGTGTATTTCAGTAGATCCACCCGTTCTGCTCCGCATTTTGTCTCTGGTGAATCTTCTCACCCCCTGCACCTCTGGCCTACACCCCAGTTCTTGTATGCATAAATAAATAATTTTTTTTAAAAAAAGAATTACTTCTTCACGCTATAGATTCCTAGTCAAGAGTTACCCTGCCATCATGGATACAAGTTCTGGTGAATCCCAAGTGCAGAGTGAAACATATTGCTCCACACACTGACTCCTTTGGATAAATAAAAGTTCATCCACACTCCAGTAGATGTGTGGTGTGTGTGTACATGTGAGTGAGTGTGGTTGGTGGGGGAGGGAGAAGAGGTTTATGGTTAGAAACGGACAAGAGTTGTTGAGAAATAGAATTAAAAATGGAGATGGTATCTGGACTGGCTCTGCTCTACCCTGGTCCCTTGCAATCCTTACAATGGTATGATTTCTTTTGTCTTCCCTGCCCCTGGCTATTGGTTTCCCACTCATGGCAGTGTGGTTGCAGAGTAGGGAAACAAAGACTTCTTGGGGATGTGCTCATTTCTATTCTTCTGGAAAAGAAACTGGAATAATCTGTTAGTTTTCAAAAGTAGGAAACCTTGGTGCGTCTTTGAAAGGCAGACAAAAGTAATCATCCCTCCTGCTTGCCACACAGCATCCCAAAGCAGGTTTAATTATGTGTTTTAGAAGGAAAATGGAGCCAAAGTAAAGCCTACTCATTAACAAGGAGAATCTGAGGGAACTCTGCTGGGGAATGCACCCCAAAACAAAGACCTGGGAAATAAATCTTTTCTTTGGAGAAAGCCTTAATTTCCATTAAATTGACCAATTTACACTACAGGACCATAATATACTTCTAAAGCTGTTTTGATTGACAACACAGATGAGCAATTACCAGGCCCTGCCCACCATTCTTTATCCAAGGAGAATTTTATAAAGCATGGTCTCCTGAACCCCTCCTGGAGACCTGAAACTCATCTACGTCCAACCTTCTTAAAATTGCCCACATGTTAAGGAATGATTCTCAGACCTAAAATGAATCTGGATTTACTAAATGTTATTTGCAGCTCCCTATTATCATTTGGTCATATCTTAGCATGATTTCAATTGTAAAATTTTCTGCCTTTATTCTAGAACTCAGGCAGTCATCCAAAAGTGTGCATCTGGCCTATAAAATATAGGCTGACCTGCCCTCTTCAAACCCAAGTTGCATATACCTGTCTTGTGGCCTCCACAGTCTCCAGGGGCAGAAAATGTGTTCTGTGAACTTTTCTTAAGATTCCCTGATCAAACTATAATGCAATTTCATAGGGCCTCCCCGGTGGCTCAGCGGTTGAGCGCTGGGTTGCGAAGCTGCCCACAGCCTCTGCAGTGCAGGTTCAATCCCCAACCGCCAGGCAAGGGCCCCACAGGGCGCGACAGACCTCTCCTGCCGCCTGCTGCTCCCCTCAGCAGTATACTTCATCAGTCTGCCTGTTCTGTTTCCCGCTCTGGCTCTGGTGAATTCTCTCACCCCCCTGTGCTTCTGACTATACCCAGTGCTTGTATAAATAAATAAATAAACAAAATCTTTAAAGAAAAAAATAATAATGCAATTTCTTAAATTCAGTTTTTCTCTTGATTGGGTCAAACCTTAAACAATTAAATGGATCCAAAATTCTGCGTTCCTTTTCACTACTACATTTTGGGATAAGAATGGAATAATATCAACAAGATATTTCTTGTTAGAAAGGCTGGGGGGAGAAGGGTTTGTGTTATGGCCATTATTATTATTTCCATTGTTGTATGATAACGCTTAAGTTACCCAGCACACTTACAGGAAAGGGCATTTTCTCTAACCAAAAATGATAATGAGAAGAAAGCTATCAAATCTGGAATGTATTTTTTTAAAAAAACAACAGTTTAGTGACTAACATTGACACCCAATCTGTACTAAAATTTAATCTTTTAGTAATCACACTAAATGAATTGCAGAAATCTTCAACTTCGCGAAGTCATCACTCTGAGTTAAATTTCTATGCTCTGCATATGAGGAGATGCCCATTAACAGAGAGCTTTGGCAATGGAATTTTCGGGTGGCGGGATGCCCACTTGTGCTGCTTCTGTGTGGACTTGCACAGAGCCAGAGTGGAGCTCAGCAGGGGCTGCCAGCAGGACATGGTACCTACCCCTAGGTAAACCATTCAAAGTATGCAGGTGAGCAGCAGAGCCTGCCTCAAGCAGGCATTGCCCAGCTCACGGTGGCCCTTGCGAGATACCTAATCTACGCTGACTCTGAGAAGAATGGCATTGTCTGTTTTTATTTCTTCTTAGGAGAAATCAGAAACAGTAAGTAACCTGGGTTTCCAGACTTTATTTTATTTATTTTTTAATATTTTATTTTATATAATTCTTACATCATTTTTCATCTTTGTACAATGTATGCATTTTCATTTTGGTTATATTCCCCATACAAATGCACCCCCTCCCTTATTTTGACTCTAGTTCTTCCTCTCCCCACCCCTCCCTAATCCCCCCTCCACCCCATAGTGTGTCTCTGGTTTATAGTTGCTTGTTGATTTTGATTATTACTTTGCATTGATTAGTTTTTTTTCCTGGCCTCTTATTTAGGTTTTCTAAATTCCTGCTATGAGTGAGACCATCCGGTATTTTTCTTTTTCTTTCTGACTTATTTCGCTGATCCTTTCTAGCTCTATCCATGTTGCTGCAAACTGCATGTGTTTATCTTTTTTGATTGCTGAGTAATATTCCATGGTGTATATGTACCACATCTTCTTCTTCCAGTCATCTATTTTTGGGGATTTGGGTTGTTTCCATAGCTTAGCTATTGTAAATAGTGCTTCTTAAACATAGGCGTGCAGGTGCCCTTTGGAATTACTGTTTCTGTGTCATTTGGGTAAACCTAGGAGTGGAATTGCTGGATCATATGGAAGCTCTATGCTTAGTAGGTCCAGAAATCTCCACACAGCTCTCCATAGTGGTTGGACCAGTTTGCACTCCCACCAACAGTGCAGAAGAGTTCCTTTTTCTCCACAACCTCGCCAACATTTGTTGTTGCTAGGTTTTTTAATATGTGCCATTCTCACTGGTGTAAGATGGTATCTCATGGTAGTTTTGATTTGCATTTCCCTGATTACAAGTGATGGTGAACATTTTTTCATATGCCTGTTGGCCATTTGCATTTCCTCTTCAGAGAAGTTTCTTTTTAGCTCTTCTGCCCGTTTTTTTGACTGGATTATTTTCTTTGTTGTTGTTGAGTCTCACCAGCTCTTTGTAGATTCTTGTAATCAGTCCTTTATCATTAGCGTTGTGTGCAAAAATGTTCTCCCAGTCGGTGGGGTTTCTCTTTGTTTTTGTTATTGTCTCTTTTGCTGTTCAGAAGCTCTTTAATTTGATGTAGTCCCCGCTGTTTATCTTTGCCTTTACTATCACTGCTTTGGGTGATGTGTCCAGACCTTATTTTAGATGAGATACTGCAGCAATGCAGTCCCAGATTACATCAGGTCTGATATCAAAGACCACCCTAGACCTGCTGAGGGGTGGATGGGAATCTCTGCCCTTGGGTCCTGACCCAAGGAAAGGGCTCCACCTAAGTCTTGGCGCCTCATTTGCCACAGGCTAGATCAAGCCCCACAAAAACACGACCTGGAAGAAGCATGCAGAGCCCAGCCCTCAGCCTGGGTCATCTCAACACTTCAGAGTTTCACATCATTTCCATCATTACTTCATCTCCATTAAAGCTGTGAACCACAGTTTACAGATTTATACTAATAGGTGGCTTGCTATTTTTAATTGACTATAAGAATGGCACAGAGGGCCCTTTGTTTCAGAGATAGTTCAAGGTGAGCAAAGACTCACTTGCCCAAATAGGCAGATCTTGTCCCCTCCAGCCTAAGGTTAACGGTAGCACATGTGCATGCCCACAGTGAATGACTTTCCCTGTCGGAGTTTGTGAGTCCTTCCTATGTCACCTCAAAGATCCATGACAACACAGCCCAGCTCCCAGGACTGCCAGACCTGCACTTCACCAGTTACCTCATGCCCCTGGCATTCTCAGCAGAGGCCAGTCTGACCTCACACAGATGCAGCTGCCAATGCTTTATGTTTATGTGATGGCCAGACTCCCGTCCACAGCTGCAACCAATCACTCATTCAGGAAAATGTGCTAGGCCATTACTATGTGCCAGGCAGGGGCCCAGATACCTCTGGGATCACCAATCACTTTTGGCCATGGGATGCCTTCCTGCCAGTTACCACTTCCTACCCTGTGGGCTTTGGGCTCAGAGAGAACTGGGTTATAACTTGGACTCCATCATTTATATGCAAGCTGTGTAATTGTGGATGCATCCCTCATCTTCTTGAACTTCAGTACTTCTGGGTGTAAAGAATGTAATGTAGATGTGAAACAATGTAAAATTATGTCATGTATAAATTATTTAGCCAAGAACCTAGAACATAGTATAAAAACCATGGTTTCTCAGGAGAGGCACTAGTGACATTTGGGGAAGGCTAATTGTAGACTGATTGTGAACTATAAAGTGTTGAGGAGCGTCGCTGGCCTTAATCACATGGCACTAGTGGCATCTTAAGTTGCAACAACCAAAAAACATTTGCAGACATTGCCAAACGACTCCTGGGGGGACACAGAGAATCTTTGGAACCACTATGTGAAAACTAAAACAGTGCTGCTATTATTATTTTCAGTGACTGAGAAAGCACATACCTTAAATATCCCATTGACAATACAAATTCAACTCACAGGGAAGAAAAGCATGTGGGATCCAGCACAGCCAAAGAACTGGGCTTACCCTTACAATGATCCGTTCAGAGATGTGGGCAGATAACAAATAGAACTGGTCCTGGCTAGCAGCATACAGTCCAACCACCAACATGAAGTATCTGATTCAGAAACAGCAGACCAATGTCAACACATCAGGCAACAGAGATATAATTTGTGTAATCAAATGCGACCCAGCAGTTAATCAATAGTGAATTTACCTAAATATGTTTGTTTGCATATTTAAAGAATTTCTCTTCTGCTTTACATTGTCCCTCCTGATAAATAAGAACAGAGTTGATTCACTCACTATTGTTTGGGGTCTGCCCTTTGCTCAATGTCAGGTAACTGGGAGCTGCATAGCTGGGCCCTCGGCACAGCACTGAGCGCAAACATATGCGCAATGGGAAGGTGTCCAGAGCCGCTGCAGTCACATCCTATGCTCTGATGGAGGGGACATAACAGGGCTTGCCCATCCTCACTGGACCCTTCCCACCATAGATGCCCTATACCTTCTTCCATGACTTTAGTCAAAGACCTGCACCCTCCCTGTTATCTCAGTTGCCTCTTCACTACACCATTGACAAGACACTTAAGATCAGACCATTCCTTGAAAGCAAAATAAAAACCACCCCCATCTGAGGAGATTTTGCAAAAGAACTGCATGAATAAACTTCACCAACTTCTTCTGCTACATTGTACAGGCTCTTTAATCCCTGAGAACAGCCTTCTCTCTTTTTTCAATTTTATTTATTTTTCTATTCCCCATACAATTGCAACCCCCCTTATTTTGACCCCAATCCCTCCTCTCCCCGCCCGTCCCCCATAGTGTGTCTCTGGTTTATAGTTGTTTGTTGATTTTGATTTTTTTCTTTATTATAGTTATTCTTTTTTCTGGTCTCTTATTTAGGTTTTCTAGATTCCTGCTATGAGTGAGACCATCTGGAAAGCTGTGTGGAGATTCCTCAACCTCCTAAAGATGGAGCTTCCATATGATCCAGCAATTCCACTCCAAGGTATTTACCCAAATGACACAGAAACATTAATTCAAAAGGGCACCTGCACCCCTATGTTTATAGCAGCACTATTTATAATAGCTAAGCTTTGGAAACAACCCAAATGCCCAAAAATAGATGACTGGATCAAGAAGATGTGGTTCATATACACAATGGAATATTACTCAGCATTCAAAAAAGATAAACTCATGCAATTTGCAGCAACATGGATGGCGCTGGAAGGGATCATGCTCAGTGAAATAAGCCAGAAAGAAAAAGAAAAATACCAGATGGTCTCACTCATAGCAGGAATCTTCTCCTCTATCTTAAGTGCAGCAGTAGTAACAATTGTTAGCTACCATTATTATTAGAATAACTACCATGCCCATCACACACTGGACAAAATTGTTTATCTACATTAATTCACTTAGTTTCCCCAAGCGACCCTCTTGAAGTAGGATATTGCTATTGCCCATTTTACAGAATAGAAAATTGAGTCTTAGAGTTAAATTGCTCAAGCTCACCCAGCTAGTAAATGGCATATCAAATAGGCAAATTCATCCTGTCCAATTCCAAAGCCTATGTTCTAAAACCAATGGTTCTCAAATTTGAGCTCGCTTCAGAGTCACCTGGTGACTCTGTTACCAGGTGGTTAAAATGCAAATTGCTGGGCCCACCAGCAGAGTATGGGATTCACTAGGTCTCCCCCAAGCACCAAGAACATGCATTTCTAGTAAGTGACTAGATGATGCCATCACTACAGACCTGGGACCATACTGTGAACCACAAATCTAAACTACTAATGAAAATTTATTTTCTTTTTTAATCAAAGAAAAGCTACAGCAGCGCTCAGGACCCAGTGATTATACTGGGGACCAGCGTACAGGTTTGAGAAATGCAGTCAATCCTCAGCCCTCAAATGACAATGAACTTGTAATCACTCCAGAGAACTCTGGGGGTAGAGGGATCCAGGCTAGCATATTTGGGGCTGGGCAGGAGAGTAGAGATTTCTACTCTCTCTAATAGACTGAAAGTGTCAGAGAAGGCTGGAAAGTAACTGAGGGAGGCCCAGTTTGTCTGCTCATGTGGCCAAGAGGAAGAAAGAGGCCTCTGGGGAAACTGCCCACTCAGATAAAGGCCCCCATACCTCTGGTCAGGATTTGGTTTTCCCTTCTTTCTCATGTTATTTGCTGTAGTTTCACTGAAGTGTAACCGGCCCAGCGTGACTTTGGTGACCTGGTCCGCCAGCAGGTCGATTCTAAAACAAACAACAGAAATACCAAGAGACAGTCAGAGAAAACAGAGCCCTCGATGACTGTTAGATTCTCAAATATGTTCAGTGCCCAGTTCTCACCATGATGTGGAGGACAGTCAATTCCAGTCACTGATCATTAATAAAGTTTCCACATCACAGTGAGAACTGGCCATCAAGGAAGGTCATGGCATGATTCTTGAATGGTAAGAAATGCTCGTTTAGCAGAAAATCAAGCCCAGAGTTTCTGACTCACAAAGGTCATATGCTCCCTACACTATCTCTGGGTTCTTTTATGTCCACAGCAGGGAGAACGGACAAATTTCACTGTGTGACTCTGCTAGTGTGGCTACTGCCTCCTGATTGAAGGAATTTCTCTAGGCTCCTGGAGGACCCCTTTGCATCTTTCTCATGGATTTGCCCTTTCTTGGTCTGGCTGTGGGAGGTAAGGCAGTGGGCACCTAAGGGGGACCACACAGACCCTGCCTGGATGATGGAGAACAGATGCACCAGGGCAGGTCAGTGCTGCTTGTACGTGTGGCTCCTTCACAGTTTTGTACACAGGCTCATGTGGAGCTCCTGCCTGGTCAGTCCCTGCTGTAAAACCATCTGCTTCCCAGACCCAGTGCTACTGACTCCGGGCAAAAACACTGACATATTTCAATTATCTCTCAGTCAAATCAGTTAAAAATCCACTCCGGCTCCAAGCCCTTCTAAAGTTAGATGTGCACTTAGGACCACCATATTGTTCTGGATAATCCCAGGCCTGTCTGCTATCTATTTTGGAACCCACTGGGCAATCTATTAACATTATTTTAGAAAATAAGAAAAATGAATCGCAAGCAGGCCTGATTATAGAACCCTGAATTTAATCCAATTAGCACTGGGCCAATTTAAGTGAAAATAAAGAGAAGGATCTAGCTATAATCTATTTCAAGGAATCAAAGTTCTTAGCAAGGTTGTCACTAACAAATCATTATAAAAATAATGATTAGGGCCTCCCCAGTAGCGCAGTGGATTGAGAGCCACGCTGCGAAGCTGTCCACAGCCTCTGCAGCGCAGGTTTGATTCCCAGCCGACCAGTGAGAAACCCACATGCAGACCTCTCCTGCTTCGCCTGCTGCTCCCCTCAGCAGTGTCTTCGGTCATGTCCATCTGCCTGTTCTGCTCCCGGCTCTGTCTCTGGTGAATTCTCTCACCCTCCCACGCCTCTGACTGTACCCCAGTTCTTGCATAAATAAATAAATCTTTCTAAAAAAAAATGATGACTTTAAAAATGGAGTTTTTATAAGGAATTTTCTGCAATTATTTCAATGTATTTTATCAACTTTTATTTTTGTTGATCAGTCTGTGCTCATTATACTAAAATATTAATACTAGTGTCTAAAATAGACTTCATTTTAAATACTCAAAATAAATTGGGCAAAATGCCTTTTCCCCAAAACATTCACAAAGAAATTCAAAAGAGAAATTCTTACTTAACAGGATTGAAAATCTTTTTGCTTCTGTCTGCTTGGGACTGTTCGATAGCGATTATTTGATTGCTGGCTTCTAACTGTTTGGAACAACAAATAGTAAATGAATTACTCAACAAGTCAATTCAATTATTAATAAAAATGTTCATTATTAAGTAATGTTCAAGCACTTAAAAAGTTCTAAGACATCAAGTTAGCCACTGGGCAGGAGCAAAGCAACCGAAAAGACAGCAGGACAGTGGCCCCTATTTTAAAGCAGTGTGCTTTTGGTTAAAAAAGAAAAAATACTTGCAAAATTAAACAATGAACACACAAGACAACAGAGTATTTCAGGTAAGCAGAGACTTAGTGTGGGCAAATAGAGATTGAAACCTAGGAGCAGGGCAGCTTAAAGGGTATGTGCTGCCTTCATTCACCCATTTATTCATTCATTCTACAAATATTTGTTGAATTGTGCATCTAGCATTGCCCTACGCATGAGAGATGAGAAGTGGACAGTTATCAGAAATCTCTGCCATTGAAGAGCTTACGTTTCTATTACAATGAAACAATAGCAATAAAAATGAATATAACATAGGAAATGACATTTAGTTCAGTACTTGAAACAAACTCCTAAGTTACTAGTGAACAATGCAAGGGCATGGAGAAACCCATTCTGTCTTATATGGCTTGTGGGTAGTCACATAGAAACAACTTTTCTGGAAAGCAACTGGGCAATCTATCAATAAATCAAGAGTCGTAACAATGTTCCTATCTTTCATGTGTAAATTCCTTTTCTGGAATGTATCCTCAAGTAAATATGGGTGTACTTGAATGTTCACTGAAGTTTTATCAACAATGAAACATTAAACAAAATTTAAAATAAAACAGGAATGAATATGATACATCCATAAATGGGAAGCTATATTACCTTTGTCAATATTTTTATAGAATCTTAAATATTATATAATGTTATTTTCACACTACATTAACCACAAGAGATTAATTTTATAATGGAAATATTAGGCTACCAAATGGTGAATTCCACGTATGAATTTTATCTCTTCTTCATAGTTTCCTTTTGTATTCCAAAATTTTCACAATGGATTTATATTACATCCATAATCAAAAAAAGGTTTTATCGTTTACTTGTTTGTTGTTTGTATTTTGGTTTTGTTTGGTTTGGCTCGACTTGAGAACAGTTTGGAGTAAGAGCAGCTGATGTGTTCAAGAGTGAAGCCCTATTTGGGGAGACTCAGTAACTCAGCCCAGATTAATGATCACAATAAAATATGCAGAAAATGGATGATCTCCCCTTGAAGAGCTGAATCTTAGGCAACAATTTAATAAATACTAGTCTACTCCATCTGAAAATGCACTAACACCAAAAAGAATTAAGAACACATTTAGTAAAAGAAATACAAGACTTATTCACTTGAAGACCACACAATTAAAGTTTGAAGAGGTGTTGTATCCATATCTGAATGCAGCCTTAAGAAATTGGCAGACACACAGACCAATGGAACTGAATAGAGAGCCCAGAAATAAAACCTCACTTATATGGACAACTGATCTTTGACAAAGGAGCAAAGAATATGCAATGAAACACAGACAGTCTGTTCAATAAATGGTGCTGGGAAAACTGGACCACCACATGCAAAAAAAATGAAGCTAGACCACTACCTCTCACCATGCACAAAAATCAACTCAAAATGGATAAGAGAACTAGACATAAGACCTAAAACCAGGGCCTCCCCTGGTGGCGCAGCGGTTGAGCCCTGGGCTGTGAAGCTGCCCACAGCCTCTGCAGCACTGGTTCAATCCCCGGCCGCCAGTGAGGGTCCCACATGGCACACAGACTCTCCAGCTGCCTGCTGCCCCCCTCAGCAGTGTATTTCATCAGTCTGCCTGTTCTGCTCTCTGCTCTGGCTCTGGTGAATTCTCTCACCCTCCCGCACTTCTGACTGTACCCAGTGCTTGTATAAATAAATAAATTTTTAAAAAAAGGCCTGAAACCATAAAATATATAGAAGAAAATATAGGTAAAACACTAAAAGACATACATCGCAATAACATCTTTAAAGACTCATCTCCCAAAGCAAAGATAGTCAAGGAAAAGATAAACACCTGGGATTACAACAAACTGAAAAGCTTCTGTACAGCAAAAGAGACATCAACCAAAACACAGAGACACCCCACTGATTGGGAAAAAAATCTGCACTCCATTCAACTGATAAGGGACTGATCACAAAGATATACAAAGACCTCACACCACTCAACAGAAACAAAATAAACAATCCAGTCAAGAAATGGGCAGAACTTAAAGACATTTCTCCCAAGAGAAAATGCAAATGGCCAACAGGCATATGAAAAAATGTTCAACATCCTTTATCATCAGGGAAATGCAAATCAAAACCGCACTGAGATACCACCTTATACCAGTGAGAATGGCTCATATCAAAAAAACAAGCAATAACAAATGTGGGTGAGGATGTGGTGAAAAAGGAACTCTCCTACATTGAAGGTGGGAGTGCAAACTGGTCCAACCACTATGGAAAGCTGTCTGGAGGTTCCTCAGTCTACTAAAAATGGAGCTACCATATGACCCGGCAATTCCACTACTAGGGATCTACCCTAAGGACACAAAAACATTGATTCAAAAGACCACCTGTACCCCTATGTTTATTGCAGCACTGTTTACAATAGGTAAAACCTGGAAACAACCCAAGTACCCAAAAATAGATGACTGGATCAAGAAGATGTGGCATATATACACAATGGAATATTATTCAGCAATCAAAAAAGATAAACACATGCCATTCACAGCAACGCAGATGGAGCTAGAAGGAATTATGCTCAGTGAAATAAGCCAGAAGGAAAAAGAAAAATATCAGATGGTTTCACTTATAGCAGGAATGTAGTGGAACCAAATAAGACATCAGTGTAAAAAAATAACAACAGTACAAAACACAACAAAGCAAAAACGGACGATTACAAATCAGAGACATCCTGCAGGGAGGAGGAGGGAGAGGGATCAGAGGGAGGGAGGGAGGAGCACGGGGGACTGAGGTGATGGTGTACAGGTGCACTCTATGGGGACTACACCTGAAGGTGTGGGGGGAAGCAAATATTGTTTAAAAATGAACAATGATGTAAAAAAAATAAGAAATTAATTAATAAAAAATTAGAAAAAAATTGGCAGTTACTTCCTATGTCTTAGAACATTAATTCTTCGAGCCCATTCACCATGCTATGGGGAAGCACAAGCTATTGCATAGAGAGGCTCACATGGAGAAGAGTCAAGGTCTCCCAGCTACAGTCCCTTAAAGTTCTTGGTGGATGGCCAGCACAACCTTGACATTTGTGTGAATGAGCCAGCTTGGAAACTGGATCCAGGTTCAGTTGAGATTTGCAGCTATGACTCCTGAGCAGAGATGAGTTTCAGAGTCAAGCCCTGCCCAAGCTGTAGATTGGTGGCCCAAATAGATAACTTATTATTTTAAGTTGCTAACTTTGGACTAGTTTGTTGTGCAGTAATAGGGAACTAGAATACAGTAAGTACTGGGTGAATTAAATAAAAGACTTACCTTAACTCCAAAAGCTTTCAAGTAAAACATTTCTATTGGTTTTAAGCCCACTTGGGTTTTGACAAATTTTGGACTTCCCCAAACTTGGATATGGATGGTTATCTGAAAATGGTTCTTCTTTTGGCAAACAAAAGCTTCATCTGCTGGTGAAAAAGTAAATCCTTTGTCTGTGACAACTTGATAGCCTATATCAGGTCTACAAAAAGAAGAATCAAGAAATAAGTTTTGCAAACATTGTCTTTTGTTAGCAATATTAATATGTAAATATGTCAAAAGAATACATTGTGGAAAGTGCCTCTTACTAAAATTTAATCAATGAATTCCATGTATTTTTACTGAAAAAAAAAGTAAACAATGTTTCAAAACACAGCTGGCTCTCACAGTTTTTATCTACTCAAAAGGAAGATACACAATTCTTGCCAAATAGAAGCATTGTTTCCTCAGTCTGCTTTTCCCCTTTGTGCTTTCTGGTTTGTGCTTCTAATTTGCTTCTAATTTGACTCTACAATATAATGAAAGAGGTAGGCTGGAAGTGAAGAAGTCACTTCATACAGAGTTGTGAAATACATGGGATAGAATTAATCTCTTTCCTCTTTTAAGAAAAGTCTCTATGTTGATTTATAAGGATGCACACATGAAATTTTATAATATTTGCAATATTATTTCAATAAGAGGGTTTAAAATTTAAATTAAAAAAATTAATCCACAAAGAAGTCTCTCAATCTTTTCAGCAATGCTATACTCCAGCAGTCAGGTGGTTGAATATTCAATCTACTGATGACATATGGAAAAAAAGCACACTGGTCAGAATTAGCAGAAATAGCTTTAAGTTGGATCAACCAAAGCCAGTGAGTTTACCAATTAAAAACCTATTTTCACTAAAGTATGGTTATTTCCTTGTTATCTTCTCACTGAGATATAGCACTGGTAACCTACTTTGCTGGTTACTTCTGCTGAAAGAAATGGTTGAGGGTGGGGTGACTAATCAGGCTTTTGCTTTATTTGTTTTATCAATCATTTTTCAATAGCAATGCTTTTTGTAATATATGTTTAATGAAATATTAAAGGTGAATAAAAACAAAACATTAAACAGACACACGATCAGGTAAAGAAGCGAATATATAAGTTGAAAACTTCTCAGGTAAGTCTGCAAAGATGGAACTTGAATTTTTATTCATCAAGGTTCCTACATGTATGTTTTTCCTCAGGAAGGACGCTTCTTCCCAGGACCACAGAGGAAATGAGTACCTAACTGCTATGGCTGCTCCCCCTTATTTGTGGATTTTCACATCCTGGGACCTCAGTTTGGATGACTGCCATTAAATGGACAACATAGTGTTTCTAAATTTTCCACTAATTTCACAGACAGAAAATATTAATGGGACTCTGGGAAAATAGTTTTCATGCTCTTTGCAAGTTAAGCACCTTACCAATGGATCAAGTAACAGAGCTATTGATTACCTTCAAGTAGCTGATCAGTCAAAGTCTCTACACTCACACTGCCCACCAGCAGCAACAGGAAAATCCATTGAATGAAGGATTTAATAAGATCATCAATCTTACACTATCTGGGAACTTTATATTGACTCCAGTTTCTAGAACTAATCTGCTAATTTGCTCATCTAACGGCTGGATGGATTGAATTGTATAGATTTTACTGCAGAGGGTAATAAGAGCTGTCTTGGTTGAGAAGAAAGGAAATATCTTTTTGTGATATTCTATGTTTCACTGTCAAAAACTCTGTAAGATTTACAGCTCAAATATGAGCCTTAACTTGAAATTTCAGGACAACTGTAAACAGAAACTGAATCTACCCACAATTATACTGCTGAAGATTAAACACCAGTCTCTATTTTTAGAAATTTATTCTATTTATTCTATCTAAGAATAGCAATTCTGTTTTTTGATATCTAAAGTTAATTCTAAAATCAACTAAATTGACATTTTAAAAGCTCCTCTTAACATAGTATTTAAGTATCATTCAGAAAAAAGAGATTTGATAAATCTTCAATGTCCTAACTTTACTGCTTTAGGTAATTTAGGGAAACTATTTGTAACAACTTAGACATAATAATCTAAGAAAAGATAAGTGATTTTCTGTCTGAATGAGTAGTCAAACCAAGATGGCCTGAATTCTAATCCAAATGAATATTGCCTTCCTTTTTTCTTATGAAAAGTGAACTGCAGCTAAGCATTCTAAATAATTCTGACTTTATACCTTTGGGTTCATTCCATTCTTGTATTTTTTTCCAGATCAGTGGAGCATAGATAGGCTGTTCAAATAAATTAAAAAAAAAAAACTACTCAAATAAGAAGAGCAAGAGCAGTTACCTTGAAAATGTTATCAACTCAATTGCACAGGGCTGGAAGCATTAAAGTCTTTAATTAAGATACTGTGCACATGTGTGACAATTTCATGCCTCAGTACTCATATTTAAGATCAAATATGGAACACTACCCAAAAGATAACCAAATTAAGGCTAAAACTCAAAATAAGGCCAGTGGACCCATAATTTCTTTTTCTAGTTGCACACAGTGTCAAAGACAGAAGGTTGTGAGATTTCAATAAAAAAGTTAGTAATTCATGTTTTTGTGCCTCCCATAAAACACACCAACTCCCAAATCAGTTTTAACTCCCCAGATTTTTGTCTGAAGGAAAAGATTTCTTCCTTCTAGTTTGCCCAATATAAAGTCCTAGAGATAATTTCTGTACTTAAATAAGTCACATTTGAATTTAGAAAATACCAAGAAGACCCTCAAGTTTATAGTTTATGTTTTTATATTTATTTCTTGACAGTCCTACTCTTTAACTATTAACACATTTTAGTGTTTCAAGAAAATATTTATAAAAAATGAAAATTGTAGAAGACCGGTTAAGTAAATTATTTCCTAAGGGACAAAGATAAGTCTTAAAGGATAGTTAAGAGCAATAAGGCATAAGTTCACATTTATTTCTTCTAACGATAATATTATAAGAAGATAAAACTTTTCCAGTTTAAGGATATTTTGTATATTTGGGTTTAGTCTCTAATACACCACTAATTATGATGGCTGCAGAATACACTGACAATGAACTTAACAACACTGATTCACAGCATAGATATTGGAAGGGGTGGGTGCAAGTGGCTAACAATTTAATATGTCCCCCAAAATTATTCTATGGAAGTATAAATTAACCTCAGGATTAAATGTTAGTGACTTGGGAAATCTCCACTTTCCACCCTTTAGTTTAAATTGGACATGTGATCTCAGAAACATTCCCTTTCCCTCCATCATTTAGTGGGTAAGTTATAATATGAAAGAATTACACATTTGGATTCCTGAAGGCTGGAAACCATACCCCAAGTATTCTTTAGCAAGGATGTACAACATAAAGAATAAGACAAACCCTTTCTCAGTGACCCTTCCCACTTGCTCAGGGTGCCTCTAAACCCACCAAATACAATTTTGTTCTGAGATTCAGCACTGCTTTCTCCCCTCACTGTCCAACCACCACAGAAGAGTCTAAAGCCACTTACAATTTTTCGTAATGACCATTTAATAAACTGTGCCAAGGAACACTTTGATATGGTTGCCATTTCAGAGCAGGAGAGCACTGGTCTGCGGGCATCATGTTCTGAAAACTGTCGTGGTCTTTCTCTTCAAGGCTGTGATTCCTACCTATCACTGCAAAGAAATAGTATGTGAGTCCTTCCTCCAAGGATGTTTTCCCAGATTCGGACAGCTGCATTGAGATAATGCATGAAAGAGGCAGAGTGGCCCCATGGGAAGTGGCAGCATTGGAGCATTGGGACTAGTAAGTGTGAAGTGAGCCTTGTTTCCTCACCTATAAAGAAGAGCTGGGGTCAGTGATCTTTGGAGTTCAATAATGGGCACTTGTTGGAAACTTTGCCTTCAGGATCTACCCTACTTTTTGCATAGCATCACCTCACTTTCAGTCTGCACTATTCCAATAGTCTATTCCCACTCCCAGAAATATAAGGGGCCCAGGTGCAGATCAAAGTACAGCAGGTCCTCAAATAACATCACTTCCTGCAACAGCCTCTCTTTAGCACTGATGAGTGAAAAAGCCTGCCAAAACTAAACAAAATGACATTATTTGAGGATCTGACATTATTCAAGAATCTGCTTTAACTATATGTTGCATAGTTCAAAGTAGCAGTTTCTGAGAACTTACTGACATTAAGGAAGACTGACTGTACAGCATTCACTTGCATTAGTAATTGCATCAAATGGACACATGGTCTAATCCAATCCAAGTAGAGTGGATCTCAGCACCTCCCAGAGTGCATGTCAAAGATGCTGACTCGTTTCCATCAAGTTTGAACCTGTGAGATACATTCCCAAGAGCAGCTGGCACCATTTTGGGACATGAGGGGAAAGCCTGTCTGGGAAGGAAGCCAGCGCAGCAGAAGGCAGCATTAAGAATGAAGGGCATATGTACCACATCTTCTTGATCCACACACAATGGAATATTACTCAGCAATCAAAAAAGATAAACTCATGCAGTTTGCAGCAACATGGATGGAGCTAGAAGAGATCAGGCTCAGCAAAATAAGTCAGAAAGAAAAAGAAAAATACCAGATGGTCTCACTCATAGCAGGAATTTAGAAAACCTAAATAAGAGACCAGGGAAAAGATTAATCAATACAAAGTAAAAATCAAAATCAACAAACAACTGTAAACCAGAGACACTACGGGGGTGGGGATAGGGAGGGGCGGGGAAAGGAAGGACTAGAATCAAAATAAGGGGGGGGGTGCAATTGCATGGGGAATATAACCAAAACTAAATGCATACATTGTGCAAAAATGAAAAAAGATGTAAGAATTATATAAAATAAAATATTTAAATAAAAAAAAAAAAAGAATGAAGGGCACCTGGATCTAATGGCGTGACCTGAGTTCTGCGACCCAGTCCTAAGCTTTTGGGTTACAGGAACCAATAAATCCCCTAGTTTTGTTTATTTGTTTGTTTGTTGCTCATGGCAATTTGAGGTTTGGTTGTTTGCCTCTTTGTTTTTTGTTAATTACGACAATTCATTTTAATTTGTTACAGGTCCCTTGTGGCACCGAGATTGTGTTGTCCAATTAGCTTTTGACCTTAGAAATTTATTCACTTAGGAGAGGGCGGAGCAACATGGCGGCGAGGAGACGCTGCGAGTAAGATCTCCCATTAAAAAAAGTTAATAGGGAGGAAAAGCGGCAGGTCCCAGAGAGAACTGGGACACGGAAGATAAACGGGTGACGCCAGCGAACTACCCGAAGAAGAAAGTGGCCATAAAAGAGGACCAGAAGGGAGGGAAGCGCAGAACCCTGCTCCCCTCCCCCGCCCACAGAGGCGGCACTCTCCGACCGGCAGAGAGGAGGAAACAACACACCAAAACGGCCAACAAGAAAAACGGACGCAGCAAGCGGGACTGTGAGTGGAAAGGAACTACTGCAGCCACCACACCCCGTGAACGGGAGCTCAGGCGAACCCTGCAGGATCCGCCGCGGCGGTGAGCGAACGGCTCCGGGCGCCATTAGAGAAGAACAAAGACCCCGGGAGACGCGCACACAGCCCGGGCTGCCGGTAAGCTGGCGCAGAAAGCGGCGCACTCGGCGCGCGCTTGAAAAGCAAGTACAGACGGGGATCGCTGCTGCCCAGGTCCCCGCGCCTGCGACCTAGGCTTGCGGGGAGACGACCTAGGCTTGCGGGGAGACGCGCGGAGGTCCTCACTGAGGTGAAGGTCCCTCCCTGAGTGAGCAGGAACCAGGCGCCCAGGCACGGGAGCTGTGCAAAAGGCGCCATTCCCGCGCCACTGAACTGGGCTACAGCCCGCGTCCTGGAACTGAGGGCTTTGAACTGAGACCCGGGGCACGAAAATTCGGGGCATGGGTTCTCCACGACGGTGGGGCACAAGGCAGACACAGCACCCCAAAGCTGTTGAGGTGTACCCTACCATCCCCGCTCTGTTCCATGTCCCACGGGGTGGGGGGAGGCGAAAAACAGCCCCCCAAGGACAATAGGAGAGATCTCTGGCGCCACCTAGCGACCAGGAAAAAAAAGTCACTAACACCCCATAAAACAGGAAATTTCTTAAGACTGCTTGAAAAGGGCAGAAGGCTTCTGGAGAACCCAGTGGCCAGCCGGGAAGTTATTCCACGCCAGGCCCCTTCCGACCAGCAGTCTGAGCCCACAGAGGGAGCAGGCACCCACGTCCGGGGCAGACCGGGTGCGCAGAAGAGTGTGCCTGAAACCGGAGGCGCAGGGACTGCATCCCGCTTCGCCATTTGAGAACAGGGACATTTCTTCAGTAAAAACTGCCTAAAACCAGCAGAAAGCTCCCCCAGAAGACAGAGATGGCTCCTGGAAGAGCCAGAGGGGAGCGGAGAAGTTCACCCAAGATGTCAGTCAGTCCGAGCAACACAGTGTCCCAACGCATACGACAAATTAGAAAACAGACAGTAGGGAGTAGAAGAACCACACGCAACCTAACAACTCCTCAGGAAAGAAGCACACCACAAAAAGAAAACCACTCCCCAGATTGCAACGACAGCAACTTGGAAGAACTTCTGAGCCTTCCCGAAAGAGAATTTAAAATTGCCATGATTAAAAAAGTGATAGATCAGAAGAAGGAAATTGAGTCCCTAAAGAGGGAAGTAAGAGAAATGCAGGAGATCAAAGAATTAATGGAGGAACTAAAGAACTCTGGGAAAAGCAATGAAAGCAGAATAGATGAAATGGAAGAACGAATAAGTAATCTTGAAGACACAGAAATAAAAAGAACCAAAACAGAAAAGGAAAGAGAAGTACGAAGGAAAAAGAATGAAGAAAGACTTCGGGAACTATCTGACTCCATGAGGAAAGGAAATATAAGAGTTATAGGAATTCCAGAAGGAGAGGAGAGAGATGTAGGAACAGAGAAAATATTCATGGATATAATTGAAGAGAACTTCCCAAATGCGAAGAAGGAGCTGAAAATTGATATACAAGAAGCAAGAAGAACACCAAACTTCCACGACGAAAGGAAAACACAGCAAGACACATAATAGTAAAGCTCCCAAGAATCCAGGACAAGGAAAAAATAATGAAGCTGACAAGAGGGAAGAAACAGATAACATTCAAAGGAAAACTAATCAGGCTGACATCAGACTTCTCTGAAGAAGCACTACGGGCAAGGAGAGTGGAGGGACATAGTCAACAGACTCCAAGAAAACAGATGCCAACCAAGAATACTCTATCCCGCAAAGTTCTCTTTCCTCCATGAAGAAAGAATATGGACCTTCCCAGACAAAGAGAAACTCCGGAATTTCATTGCGACTAAACCCTCACTCCAAAAAATACTACAAGGAATCCTAAAGCCAGAACCTCAGAGGGACGAATAACAACGAAAGAAGACCAAAAAAAAAAAAAGTTATTAAAAGAATAAATAAATAAAATCAAAGGAAAGACAAACATAATGGCAAATACAGATGCTAACATATCAATATTAACTCTAAATGTAAATGGACTAAACTCTTCAATAAAAAGACACAGAGTTGCAGCCTGGATTAAGAAACAAAACCCAACCTTTTGCTGTCTCCAGGAAACACATTTAGCTACAAAAGATAAAAATAGGCTCAAAGTCAAAGGATGGAAAACAATCCTACAAGCAAATGGGCCAAAAAAGAAAGCAGGAACAGCTATACTTATATCAGATAAAACAGACTTCAAACTCAAAAAAATAAAAAGAGACCCCAATGGTCACTACATTATGATTAAGGGGACAATACTTCAAGAAGAAATAACACTCATTAACATATACTCACCAAACGAAAGAGCACCAAAATATATCAGACAACTGTTGTCCTCTCTGAAAACAGACATCAGAGAAAACACATATGTAGTGGGAGACTTCAACACACCACTATCAACAATGGATAGATCAACAAGACAAAAAATAAGTAAAGAAACTAAAGCTCTAAATAAGGACCTAGAGCATTTGGGCTTAACAGACATCTATAGAACACTAAACCCAAAAAAAACGGAGTACACATTTTTCTCAAGCGCACACGGATCATTCTCCAGGATCGATCACATACTGGGGCACAAGACAAACATCAACAGATACACCAAGATTGAAATCATACCAGCCATCTTTTCTGACCACGAAGGCATCAAACTAGAAATAAATCATAAAAAGAAGGCAAGGAACTATCCTACCTCATGGAGATTAAAAGCCACACTACTGGAAGACCACTGGACTAACGAGGAGATCAAAGAAGAAATTAAAAAATTCTTTGAATTGAATGACAAGGAGGACACCAATATCCTAAATGTATGGGATGCAGCAAAAGCAGTAATAAGAGGAAAATACATAGCAATAGAAGCTCACATCAAAAAACAAGAAAGAACTCAAAGAAACAACCTAATCTCGAAGCTCAGAAATCTACAAAAAGAACAACAAAAAAACCCAAAACCAGTAGAAGAAAAGAAATAATAAAAACCAAAGCAGAAATAAATGAAATTGAAACTAAAAAAACAATCCAAAAGATCAATGAAACCAAGAGCTGGTTCTTTGAAAAAATAAATAAAATAGACAAACCCCTAGCCAGGCTCACAAAGGAAAAAAGGGAGAAAGCACAAATACACAGGATCATAAATGAAAGAGGAGAAATCACAACGGACACAGCAGAAATCAAAAGAATAATCAGTAACTACTATGAACAGTTATATGGAAACAAGTTCAACAATCTAGAGGAGATGGACAAATTCCTACAACTCTACAATCACCCAAAGCTAGATAAAGAAGAAATAGAACACCTAAACAGACCAATTACAAGCAGCGAAATTGAAATGGTAATTAAAAACCTCCCCAAAAACAAAAGCCCAGGACCTGATGGATTTACAAATGAATTCTACCAAACATTCAGAGACGAATTAGTACCTATCCTTCACAAACTCTTCCAAAAAATTGAGAAGGAAGGGACAATACCAAACACGTTCTATGAAGCCAATATTACACTAATACCAAAACCGAATAAGGACAACACAAAAAAGGAAAACTATAGGCCAATCTCCCTAATGAACACTGATGCAAAAATCCTCAATAAAATTTTAGCTATCAGAATCCAACAATGTATCCATAAGATAATTCACCACGACCAAGTTGGATTCATTCCAGGGGCACAAGGATGGTTTAACATCCGAAAATCAATCAACGTTATCCAACACATCAACAAAAAGAAATATAAAAACCATATGATAATATCAATAGATGCTGAGAAAGCTTTCGACAAAGTGCAACACCCATTCATGATAAAAGCCCTTGAAATTCTTGGGATACAAGGAACATACCTCAACATCATAAAGGCCATCTATGACAAGCCAACAGCCAGTATCATTCTCAATGGTGAAAAGCTGAAAGCAATTCCATTAAGATCTGGAACAAGACAAGGATGTCCACTCTCACCACTGCTTTTCAATATAATACTGGAAGTCCTAGCCAGAGCAATAAGACAAGAGAAAGACATCCAAGGAATCCAAATAGGAAAAGAAGAAGTCAAACTATCACTATTTGCAGATGATATGATAATATACATAGAGAACCCCAAAATCTCCACAGAAAAACTAATTCAACTTATCAATCAATTCAGTAAAGTGGCAGGATACAAAATCAACACGCAAAAGTCAGTAGCCTTCCTATACACAAACAATAAATCTGAAGAAGAAGAAATCAAAAAAACCACCCCTTTTATTATCGAAACAAAAAAAATCAAATATTTGGGAATAAATCTAACAAAAGAGGTAAAGGACCTATACAAAGAAAACTATAAAACACTGTTAAAAGAAATAGAAGAAGACACAAAGAAATGGAAAGACATCCCCTGCTCATGGATTGGAAGAATAAACATTATTAAAATGGCCATCCTACCAAAAGCAATATACAGATTCAATGCTATTCCAATCAAAATCTCAATGGCATTCTTCAAAGAAATAGAACAATTATTGATGAAATTCATATGGAATCACCAAAAACCCCGAATAGCCAAAGCTCTCCTGAAAAAAAAAGAAGGAAATGGAGGCATCACACTCCCAGACTTCAAACTATACTACAAAGCCATAATCATCAAAACTGCATGGTATTGGAACAAGAACAGACATACAGACCAATGGAATCGAATAGAAAATCCAGAAATAAACCCACAGATTTATGGTCAACTAATCTTTGACAAAGGAGCAAAGACTATGCATTGGAGCAAAGAAAGTTTGTTCAATAAATGGTGCTGGGAAAACTGGGTCGCTACATGCAAAAGAATGAAGCTTGACCACTACCTCACACCATACACAAAAATCAACTCAAAATGGATTAAAGAACTAGACTTAAGACCTGAAACCATAAAATACATAGAAGGAAATATAGGCGAAACACTACGGGATTTGCACATCAAAGACATCTTTACAGACACATCACCCAAAGCAGTGATAGTGAAGAGAAAGATAAACAGCTGGGACTACATCAAATTAAAGAGCTTCTGCACAGCAAAAGAGACAATAACAAAAACAAAGAGAAACCCCACCAACTGGGAGAACATTTTTGCACCCAACACTAATGATAAAGGACTGATCACAAAAATCTGCAAAGAGCTGATGAGACTCAACAACAACAAAGAAAATAATCCAGTCAAAAAATGGGCAGAAGAGCTAAAAAGAAACTTCTCTGAAGAGAAAATGCAAATGGCCAACAGACATATGAAAAAATGTTCAACATCACTTGTAATCAGGGAAATGCAAATCAAAACTACCATGAGATACCATCTTACACCAGTGAGAATGGCACATATTAAAAAAACTAGCAACAACAAATGTTGGCGAGGATGTGGAGAAAAGGAACTCTTGTGCACTGTTGGTGGGAGTGCAAACTGGTCCAACCACTATGGAGAGCTGTGTGGAGATTTCTGGACCTACTAAACATAGAGCTTCCATATGATCCAGCAATTCCACTCCTAGGTATTTACCCAAAGGACACAGAAACATCAATTCCAAAGAGCACCTGCACTCCTATGTTTATAGCAGCACTGTTTACAATAGCTAAGCTTTGGAAACAACCCAAATGCCCAAAAATAGATGACTGGATCAAGAAGATGTGGTACATATATACCATGGAATATTACTCAGCATTCAAAAAAGATAAACACATGCAATTTGCAGCAACATGGATGGCGTTGGAAGGGATCATGCTCAGCGAAATAAGCCAAAAAGAAAAAGAAAAATACCGGATGGTCTCACTCATAGCAGGAATCTAGAAAACTTAAATAAGGGACCAGGAAAATGAATATAAGAAAGTGAAAATCAAAATCAACAAAAAACTATGAACCAGAGACACTTTTTGGGGGGGGGGGGCGGGAGGGGAAGGATTGGGTCAGAATGGGGCGTTTGCAATTGTATGGGGGAATATAAAAATAAAATTTAATATTTAAAAAAAAAAAAAGAAGTTATAGAAAAGTAAAAAAAAAAAAAGAAGTTATAGAAAAGTAAAAAAAAAAAAAAAAATTTTAATATTCAAGGTTTCAGAGTCAATAAAGCCAATTTTGTTCTAACTAGATCAGGTCTCTAAGTTAAAAACATGATGTGTCACATATGTCAAAGAAGAAGACAGGCTGACCCCTGACATTCAGATAACTCTACTGAAAGATCTCTAAACTAATTTTACAAAATTTCAAAAATTTACTGAACACCTCCTAAATCAAAGTGAGTGCTAAGGAAGCTCAACCTTCTTCTCTTCCTGCCCCACTGGAGAAGTCAGTCCTCTAGTCTGGCTTTTCAGAGCACCTTCCATGAAACCAGTGCATTGGCATCACCTGGGAGCTTGTTAGGACTGCAGAATCTCAGACGACTGCATCAGGCACACTCTATAGAATCTGCATTTTACTAAGATCCCCATGTGTGCACCCTAAATGGGGAAGTCTTTCACTGAATGAAACAATGGGCATGACCAGAGAGTTCTTGAAGGAGCTGCCACCTTGTGCAGCTTTCCCAGGCTTGGAGCCTGCGTTTTCCAAGACATGTAACCTCTAGAATTGAAAGCACTTGTTCGTCATCTCCACTAGAGACAGGGGATAGGGTCTCTTCCTGGGAGCACCTGCATGACCTCACTTAAGACCGCAGGAAACTGGTCAAGAGGGAGGAAATTAATTCTCAGAGCCTATTAGTGCTATTCTATACCAGAAAATAATTTGGGAGGGATATTCCAAGCCTGATTTAAAAAACTGTAGTTTAATGGTCAAGGCAGTGATAGGTCCCAGGTTGGCTCACTTGGTCTACAGTGATGGGCCCACGCGGAGTCTTCTGAGGCCTCCAACGCCTCTGTACACTTTCTCTTCTTGGTTGGTGGCAGTGAGACGCTAAAATCAAAAAACCAAGGTAAAAGTTAAGGTTCCTTTTTGCTCTTCATGTTATAGTAAATTAATTTCCCAGGTCTCTTCTTTCCACCTTCCTAAGTCTAAGTCTAGTTGATTAAGGTTTCATGAGCCTCACTAATCTCTGGAGAGAGAAAGCTCTATTCCATGAGCCCTACTTGTCTAAACCTCTTTTCCTCTATCAGATGGATCTGAGATACACTTTGAAAAATAAACTGACAATATTTCCAAAGGCATTGTGCTCACTGAGATAAAGAAGACACAGACTTGAAGACCTAGGCATATTAGGCCTAGGCATTTTACACCCCTACATTGTTTCTCACATGTAATTTTACCACAATTTTTATGACTCCTATTCTTCTTGCTATTCTCTAGATCCAAAGGAGGAATCAAAGTGTAACAGGGCGGTCCCAAGGGAAAGGGGAGGTTCCAGGGCCCCTGTCCCACCCAGGAAGGGTAGAGCTAAGCAGGGAAGAGAGGAAGCTGCAGAAGAGACTGGCGAAGGAAGGAAGAAGGAGGGAGACCTAGAGGAGGCACATGGAGCAGAGACTGCTCTTGAAGTCACATGGAGAAGAAGCTGCTCTTGATTTTTGATCCTGGACTGGTTGAACAGATGTGGGTCAGAGACCCATGGGGAGGTTAACAATGGCAGCTTTTTTCTTGATTTTGATTTTGCTCCTGTCTCAGACATGCTGGGCTCCTTCTTCCCCTTTTCTATGGGTCCCCACCAAGAGGAGCCTTAGACTTGCTGTAGACTTTCAGGCCTCAGTGGTCCTGCTTTGGGCCAAGCCTATCTGGCTGGACATTCACCCACGAGGGGATGAGTGACTTCAGGTGTTTGATTTGAGAACTTTGTTCTTCCCCTTTTCTTTATTACACCCTAATTGTATTCAAGTTCCTTTCCATTAAAGGACTCACACACTTGAGTATATTTTGTCTTATTGTAGCAGATGACAGAACCTATTTAGAATGGGCAGGTTTGTGGGTTCCGGCATGTCCCTCTCCCTGCCCTGTAACAAAAGGAAGAAAAAGAGGACGAGAAAGTAAGATAGAAGACTAGTTAATGCTTGACTGACATATTTTTCTGAGAGCTCTTTGACACATTCCCTTGAATGGTCTACGTGAGGCCACATATGCAAGTTTTGCTTTCTCCATGGTCCAGAATCGCCCTATATATTTCTGATATTTTAACTTTCCACTGAACGAGGTCCTGGCTTTAGATTTTTAATTAAAAGATTTTCTAAAGCCAAGATAGCTGGGCGCCTTGCCCTGCCTGATCTATGTCTCAATACTGCCATCTCCTGGACGGGACTCCACTACTCAACTCCCACCACACTGCCGCTGGGGCTGCGGGCCGCTCTATGGATTTTCATAACTAAGTATCTCGCCCTTTACCCAGGACTGTAGCACAGAGGCTCTGAAGGGTAAGAACAACTTATCCCCAGATGGGAGGGCGTGGACTGGTCCAGAGGGGCCGCAGGATGACTGGTGTTTAAGTAGCTGCTGTGCACACGGTCAGAGACGCTCATTTCCGAGGAGCTCTGGGGCAGGTGCGCGGGCAGTGCTCCAGGTGCAGCTGCGGGGTGGAGGACAGTAGCTGGAGTCCTCCTGGCTGTAGGTCTCCGGGCCGGGCAGCATGCACCTGGGGAACACACAAGTGAGAAGGGCCTCTTGCTCCCCACCCAGAGTCCAAAAAGAAGAGGAGCGAGCAGATGCAAACTGTGTGGGAGGCACTTCGCACTCACCTTTGACCTGTGGAGGAGAGCAGGAATCTGATGTAGAATAGGGTGGCGTATCTGGGAGCTGGCGTTGCCTGAGGAGTAGAGACATGTATTTTTATTTATTTATTTATTTTTTTTTTTGCTGTTGTTGTTGTACCCAGTCCATCACTACTCTTTTGTCCCAAGTAGGAGGCAGCCCTTAGTGTACAGAACCACCAGGACGGTTCCACATGCTTCAGGGGGCCGAAGCCCACAGACCGAATCAGTGTCATGTGATGAGAGGGCTTTGAGTCAAAGAGACCTGGATTTGAGTCCTAGCTCTTCTCCTTCCTAGCTGTGTTTCCATGAACAAGTACTTAGCCTCTCCAGGCCTCTGTTTCCTCACCTACAAAATGGGAATAATCATTATGCCTCCCTCAGAGGACCACTGTGAGAATTAAATGAGATAATGTGCATAAAGCCCAGAAGAGTGTTCAAGAAAGTTTACTTAACATTATTATTGCTTCTTAACATTCTCAGTGCACTTACACCAGAGAGCTACATATCCTTTGCTGCACGGTTGGAGCTAAAGCAGTACAAAAATTCACTATTACAGCAACGTGAGCATCTGCACTGTGGAATCCTAAAGTTTTGGAAAGACGTTCAGGGGGTTACAAAGAAAATTTTATATTTCAGGGCCCGGGGCCGGGGGGGGGGGGGGGGGGGGTGTAGTGGGGGGGGCTGGAATTGACAAATTATGATCTGTTTTATACACTGAGGTATAAGCAAATTTTATTTAAAAAAAAAAAAAAAGAGTAACACCACGAAAAATGTGCAAAAACTTCTGTTCCAAAAGACCAACATTTCCTTAGGGTTCTGAAAGTCTATGATCCTAAGAACCACCAGCCTCACCTGAGTCTCTTGCGTTGTGGATACCATGATTTTCCTTTTTGATTAAGATTTCAACATAATACAAAAAAAGGAAAAGTCTGCTTTTATCATTTACTATAAAAGTTCTGTTGTCTCCACAAATTAGTCTGTTCTATTTTATTGACTTCCTATTAATAAGGGAAGAGGGAATATACATATACCTTTCTCTAAAATCTCTAAACAAATGAAAGTAAAGCAATAAAGAGACATAAACACAAAGGACACACAGAACATGAGCAGAGTCCACAACAGACAGTATTTCAATAACATTGTGACAGAAACAGGATGGATGGTAACTGAATTAGCAGAATGGAATAAGCAAAAACAAGACCGCCTGGGAGTGGTGGAAGGGAAGTAGGAACCAACAAGAAGTTATCCAATTTGAATACAATACCACAATACCAGAAAATCTCAGGACTTTGGAGTCCCTGAGAGTTTCTGAATTCAAGGGTAAAATGGAGCTAAAAACAAAGACTTGATTGAAAGTTTGATTAAGAAAAGATAAACTCATGCCATTCACAGCAACGTGATGGAGCTAGAAGGAATTATGCTCAGTGAAATAAGCCAGAAGGAAAAAGAAAAATATCGGATGATTCACTTATAGGAGGAATATAAGGGAACCAAATAAGACATGGGGGGGGGGAATAATAACAATACAAAACACAGCAAAATAAAACAAAAACAAACAGACAATTATAAACCAGAGACACCCTGCAGGGGAGGAGGAGGGAGAGGGATGGGGAGTGGGGGAGGAGCACAGTGGACGGAGGTGATGGTGCACGGGTGCATTGGTGAAATTCTATGGGGACTACACCTGAGGGTGGGGGGAAGCAAACATTGTTTAAAAATAAACAATATGTGAAATATATATAAATTTAAAAAAAAAGAAATAGCCAAGCCCTGAGGTCAGCTTCCACAACTTGCATAGCCAAGCAACTACCTCCATCATCCCAACAGATGAAAGATTTACTCTCTAGAGAAATGGAACCAGGGAGCCTGTGGAGCTACGGGGCTAGAAAAGGGAAGGAGGGCCTCCCTGGTGGCACAGGGGTTAAGATGCAGCCTATGAAGCAATCTGCAGCCACTGCAGCACAAGTTCAATTCCCAGCTGGCCAGGGAGAAACCCACATAGCAGGACAGGCCTCTCTTGTCTCGCCCGCTGCTCCCCTCAGCAGTGTGCTTCGGTCCATCTGCCTGTTTTGTTCCCCATTCTGTCTCTGGTGAATCCTCTCGCCCCCTGCATCTCTGGCCTGTACCCTAATTCTTGTATAAAAATGGATACATCTTTTAAAAATAAATAAATAAAATAAAAATAAAAAAGGGAAGCATTAATTGAAAGTCTAAGCACGGAATTGTGAACCCTTCTTCAGCTCTGCTTTGCAGGTATGGATGCAGATTTCCCACAGTGAGAAACTGGAAGATTGTTCTCCAAAAAAATGGAATGTCCTCAAGGGGAAAAGTGATATTTAGATGTCACTCAAGGAAGCAGCAAGTCACTCTACAATGAAACTCATCCTTTGAGAATAATGGCCTGCATACAGAACTTCTGAAACAGGAACAATGAAGGATGGGACATTTTCAGAATGCCCTTCACATTAAATAACCAGATAAATAAGAAGTACAAAGGAATCACAAAGAGCTCTTCTGCTTCTAATATGACTGGTAAGCTCACACCAGCCCTAACCTTCCCATTGATAAAAACTATGAATACCTAAAAATTTCTTGTTTCAATCTACCCAAAGATACTGAAAAGTATATAAAAGTAAAAAGATTCTGGAGAGATAACCAAAATTTGGTGGAAGACAATGGCACTGACAACTGTTGTTGACAAACATTGACAACTTTTAGCGTTAGGGCCAGTTGAAGTTAGAACCACAAAAAAAATTGAAACCCCAATAGAAACCCTCAATCTTTCTGGCCTGAAGAATCAGAGAACAGAATCTGGGACAAGCAAAGCTGCTAGAAGTGAGAGAAGGACACAGAGATGGTACCCCCAGATTCTGTGAATAAATTGTTTTCAGGTGTCTGACTGCTTCCAAAGTCATCATTAATAGGTTGGGCTCACTAAACACAGCCCAATCAAAGTAAAAAAGACTGAACTGAAATTTGAGCTACTGCCCAAGAGATAGAGTGGAAGCAAAGTAATTGCCTGGTAAAACAAAAGTATACATTCTTTTCAGAGGAATATAAAAGAATCCAGACAGTCACAATGTCACAATTAAGAATTACTCAGGCCTCCCTGGTGGCTCAGCAGGTTGAGCGCAGCGCTGTGAAGCTCTCCACAGCCTCTGCAGCGCCAGTTCAAATCCTCGCCGGCCAGGGAGATACCCACATGGCGCAGCAGACCTCTCCTGCCTCGCCCACTGCTCCCCTCAGCAGTGTATATCTGTCGTCTGCCTGTTCTGCTCCCTGCTCTGTCTCTGGTGAATCCTCTCACCCTCCTGTGCATCTGGCCTGTACCCCAGCTCTTGTATAAAAATAAATAAATCTTTTAAAAAGAAGAAAGAATTACTCAACAAAGAAAGAAACAGGAAAATAGGGTCCAGACCCAAAGTAAAGAACAGTCATTGAACACCAACTCAGATATTGATCACACAAGGATGTTAAAGCAGGTATTATAAACAACTAAGCTGGACGAAATAAAGGAAGTTTTGTTGGTGAAAAATTTTAAAAAACAGAATAGCTATATATAAACTATTGGAAGAACTAAATATAAATTTATAATTTAAACCATTGGAAATGAAAACAAAAAATTTTTAAATCACTGGATGGTGCAGAATTTGAAGACAGATCAATAAGTAGCTTTCAATCTAAAGAACAGAAAGGAAAAAAAAATAGGGATTTAAAAAGAGAAGAAAGACTCATGAACTGTTGAGAGGATCAAGCAGGAAAGAATCATTAAAATCAGGGCAGTAACTAACTTCAGGAAAAGCACTGTTGTGTGGAAGTGTTTCTAGGCTGCTAACCCCCCTACAATCACCATGTCGGGAATCCTGGGTATGCACATTAGACTATTTTTGGCCTTTGTACTCTGAACTTGCCTATTACGCTAAAGGGATTTCCTCAAGAAGTGGACCTAGAATGCAACAGACACAATGGTTCACTCTTGTAGCAGCCATCTCTGCCTCTAACTTCTACAGAAGATGTAAATATCAAGAGATTCTTTGCTATTTTAAAAAGTCCTGCAGTGTACACTCATTTCACTTTAAGTCACTAAGTCACAAGTTTATTTATTGATCATAAAACTTTAATTTTTTTCCTCCACAGCATCTCATTAGACTAATTTTACATAGAGCACTTGGGGATATCTGTTTTATAGGGTCAATAATTCAATATTTTAAATATTTGAGATCTGAAAATCTGCCTATGAAATTCAAACTGGTTTGAACCCATTTTGTAGTTTTGTGGTCTCTTTGATCCTTTTGATAGAGTTGTCTTATGTTTTGTAAAAGCACAACTCATAGTTAATAGAGCAGGGGGGAAGTAACTCTGGATTTGTATAAACTCAGGGCTTATTAGCTGTGAGCCCAGGCCAGAAAATCTGTATCTCAGGGCTTCTGTGGAGAATGCCTGGTATTTAGAAATATTTAATACTTGGAGTATTTAGGTGGTTTGGACAGATGCAACACTCATTGTACCAGCCCAGCAATCCTGGGGTCAGGGAATGGACCTGTTTCCACTTATTCCCCCTCAGGTTTTTATTAGCCCCACTTAACTGCATGAACCTGAGCAGTTTTTATCAAGCAAGGATGGATTATCTGATCGTAGGACTTTTCTTTAATGGGTGTGAACTTTGACAATCTTTGCAACTATGGCTCAGATCCATCTGACTCACACCTGTTGGCAGATAACTTCAGGAACATTAATGTGTTTCCCTGAGGTTCACAGTCCTCCAATATATCCCCTAAAATATCTGTTAATCTAGAAGCAGTGTGTAGAAGAAAGTGTATGTGTTCTAGAGCCAGACACATTTTAATCTGAGTGTTGGCACTTCTTGACCTATGGAAACTACTTAACCTATTTGTTCCTCAGCCTATTTGCCTACTCATCTGTAAACTATGGAGAATATTGTGCCTGGTTACCATAGTTGGTGAGAGAATGAAATGTGTAAAATCAAATATGTAACTAAATAAGTGAATATGTAAGGTGCAAAGAGCAATGCCCAACTTTTGGTAAATGCTCA